GTAATTTCTTCATACTCGGCCGTAAAATGGGAATATGCCCGATAAATTAAGATTTTATGGCCGTTTGGGCGGATATAAAGGAGTTTTACTTATGTGTACTTGAAGTTGAACTCAGTCTTCAAGACGTTTGCTCATTTTTGTCGAGACGTGATGAGCCTCTAGTAATCCTATTATAAAACAGCACTTTGTTTTTCAAAGCCTTTTGATGCTGAAAAATGAAGATACATCCGTAGTTTCTACCCTGACTTGAGCTCCGGCTACCTGTTGCTAAAACCTGAGTCAGGCCATTTGAGGACCCTGACTCAGGTTTTCCACATAGGCTTTCCTAACCCTAACCTTTTGATGATTGGCCGAATGTAAAAATGGAGCCGTCTTATTGGCTAAAATTCTTGCCAAGAATAGAAGAGTTCAATTCTTATACTTGCCGTTGCAAAAAAAGTAAAATAGTCTTACTGCGCTGGCGACCTCACCAATTAGCATAGAATATTCTGGGTTTTGCGGGTTCTTCGCAAGTTAACCACAGTAAAAACCTGCGCCACATTTCTAAACGAACCTTGTTCGAATATTCATGCCTATCTGAACACGTACTCTAGCCACTGGTCCAAAAAAGGGGCAAGAAAAATTAATACCCAGCGAAATATTAACGACTGTACTTTAGTCTGACGAAAAGATGAGCTCTTGACCAGCACTTGGCGATCCGACAAAAAGAAACGAAAAATCGACGACTTCAGTTCTTAAATCCTGAAAATTGAACCCCTTTTATAAATAATTTTTTTTTATAAAATAACTAAATTTAAAATTTACTAACGCTGTAAATAACCATTTTTCCTGCCCTAAATCTTGCAGCTTATCACCTGGCGAAGAAGATAATAAGGTAAGCTAGAATCTTCTGAAACTGTTACCCATGCCTGCTTAACCCGGGACTAACCTTTTACGCTCAGAATTGTCATTCAGAAAAAAAAATGATTCAATGATTTTACATCTATGACCAAGGCTGCATATCTTTCTTTCTAGAAAATTCAACCCTTTTTTCGAAGTCAAGAGATTTTAAAATTTTGAAGAACAAATCGGTTAGTACTAATTATATCTGTTATTTAATTTGATAAGGAGCACCCATCTTAACGGATAAACCCCCTTAAAATGGGGGAGGTGTCTGGAACCAACAAAAAAATTTCGACAAATTTTGCGTGGAAATTTTCAACCAATCAGAAGCCTTGATTCGGCAAACCGGCCAATCAGCAGCCGAGTAGCCGCCTACGCAAAATTTGTCGAAATTTTTTTGTCGGTTCCAGACACCTCCCCGTTAAAATGTCCTCATTTTAACAGATTGATGATTCCTCAAAAGGATCGTCATTTTAACCATTAAAATGACGACCTTCTTGATGTCTCATAAATCCGCTAAAATGAGGACATTCTGGAGGGGGTCTCCTTATTCATTTTCACAGAATGGAAAGTTAAAGTTTATCACTAAAACTCAATTATGTAGTTAATGACTTCCAGACTCGACAACACCATTACTTCCATATTTGCCCCCAAAAAGCGCCAAAATAAAAGTCCCACCTAAAAGCCAAGTCTAGCGGACTTCGTCAACACGGTGTCATTCTTTTGGTTGTTTACCTAGACACAGCAAAATAGTATGTATTTAAAATTGTCTTGATTGAAAATTGGCTGAATTCACGAGTTGTAGCTGAGCACGAAAACAAGAGACGATGCGATTTCCTTTTCTCAGTATTGTCGCCACCTTTCTTTTTGGCAGACGGGGTCAACCCGCGTGCTCGAGTTTGAGTTTGCCCCGCCCGAATTCACCTCTCGATTGTTGCTTTATTTGATTTACGAATTATTAGTAGAAGCAGCTGATCATCAGACTGAGTAGACTCACTATGAGGTCAACTAATCCGTCATTTATGACCTCTTATGAGACTTTTTATAGAGCATAAAAATTAAGGGCTATAACAGCCACTAACTACAGGAACATTATGATTATCTATGAAAACCTTAATTAAGATTTGACACCCTTAAGATTAGGCCTTCTTTGATGTTTACTCCCTTAAAATAAGGACCCCTTATTTTATCACAGTGATCCCCTTATTGTACCTAGCCAAAAATAAGCAACACTTATCCACAAATCGGTTTATCGAAGGCTACTCCCTTAATAATGAACCCTTATTGTACCACCTTGATCATGAGTTCGAAACTGGACCCATCGAATAAAATTTGATGGGGTCATTTTATTGATGCCCGCATCACATTTTTATTTAATCTTCTGAGTTGGAAGACAAAGGTCAGCCGAGTTTGCTCAAGATTCAAAAGGCCTTGCCAATTCTTCTTTTTCGTAATTTATGAAATTCAAATTTTCATTAAAAATTCGATTTGGATTCGATTTTGCCACTTGATTCATTTTCTTCCTGAATTTTGGGGCGATTTTTTAATTAAAAGAATATTGGATTTTTTTCAATCATTTTTCGAAACGGGCTTTTTGGCGAAGATTTCGTAAAAAGAAAATAAAAGAAAATGCTAAGCTCTTCTAATGCACGGGTATTAGCTGAAAGTTTTACTAAAATAATAAATTATCAGCGCAAAAGGCGCTCTTTTTCATCTCGCTCGCGCTCATTTTTACGATAGTCTCTCTCTCTTCTTCTGAGCCCAGTGATTTAGAACATACAAAGCAAACCCACCCCTTGTCTCAGACTTGGAGTTATTTTTCTCGATCATTTTTAGATGAAGCTTATTTTGGAGAGAAAAATTTAAAAGAAAGAAAAAGGTAAAATAAAGAAATGATGTTTTTCTTTATCAAATAATAATTAAGGGTTTCACCTTTTTAACAGCTTAATTCTTTAAGGGTATCATCATGTTAATGAACTCATTATTCCTCAAAAGGAATACCATTTTAACGGACTTTTGACCTTGAGGATTTCAAAATCCGTTAAAATGGCAACCGTTTTGAGAAAGAATAAATCCGTTAAGATGGGGATACCCTTAAAGAATTCCCTATTTTTCTGTTAAAATAGGGACCATCGAATCCTACTAACTTGAACCGAGGTTAACAGATAAACTCAAGTCAGATAAAATTATATAACATTTAATTTATCCCCTTCTGGCTTCATAATTCTCAGCGGGTGACGTATCGTTCTGCTGATAAGGGCGGCGCGGGTGCGGATAAGAACATGTCGAGCGGACCACATCGCTCATCTGTCGCTCCGCGCGTACTGATTTCCGTCATAATGGTTATCATTATCTTGCCCAAGCAGTCGGGCTCTATTTCCAGTACTCAACCGCCCATTTAAAACTTTCAAAAAGAGCTGTCAGAAATGAAACAGCAAATCCAAACAGTCAATAATCTTAATCCTGGGAGCATTACTTTCTTTCGGCGACTTTTTGGAAATTACGCAAAATACGGGTAATTATGTTTGGTTTCCCAAGCTCCGGAAAATAGACGAAAGAGGGTCTGGCTAATTCCGGACTACATCATATGTCGAAATCGATCAAAACAGCCATTTTAGTCGAGTTTTAGTCAAATTTATGAAAACCAATCAAAAGCTCTAAAAATGACCTGCTCTGATTGGATAAACCGGTGCTTCTCAGAAAAGGTCAAAAAGGCTTTTGATTGGCCCAAAAAAATTTGACTAAAACTTGGCTAAAATGCTAAATTTTCGAAAGCGTTGTTCAAAAGGGTCAAATTTTAGTCATTTATTTCCGAAAAATCTTCCTCAAAAAGAAAGGAGTTTCAAAATGCCCACTTTGCATAAAAAATTTTACTACTGCCACAAAAAGAAAACCAACGAAAAAAACAATAAAACGCAAAACCCGCGGACTTTTTCTGGGCATTATTTATCGAGCAAAGTCTGAGTGCTGTAATTTACGCTTTGCAAATATTAGCGCAGCTTAGTCTTCCCGAAAAAAAAACGTTACGATTGAATTGAGTATTTTTCTGTGAGTAAGAAAGAAACTGAATCGAGGCGAGTTCTGTTGAGTGCGCGCGCGCCCCAGGGCAGGACTCGCTCGACTTCGGGCGCCCGAGAGTTAGCGCACGCTGGCATCACGTGAGGCGATAATTTTTATGCGCTAAATTCTTTTTGCGCTATACAGAAAAGCGAAAGAAATCCAAACGAAAATAAGAAAAAGAGATTGAGAGTTTCTAGCTTCTCTTTTTCGTCTCTTCTAGAGAAAATAGGCCCAAATTAACAGAAAAAGGATATCAACTGTAAGTGAATAAATGGCGAACCGGAAATGAACCGCCAACAATTCGCTCTTTATTTTTATTAGAGAGGATACTGAGGAAATCTCTTTATAAATACCTTTTTTCAACAGCTTTGGATAGAGCAGTCGCTTTTGTCGAGAAAGAGATCCGAGGTCAAGAATAGTTTGATCAACCAAAGGTGTGGCCTTGAGCTGCTCTTACTATTGATAAAAGGAACAAGAGAGAGTAAATCGCGACATTGCTGAAAATGTCACGAATGTCACGAATGTACCGAATGTCACGAATGTCACGAAAACATGTTTCTTTTTCGTGACAATTTCAGCAAAATCGTGACATTCGTGACTTTCGTGACATTCGTGACATTCGTGACATTTTCAGTACTGACCGTAAATCGGGCCTCAGCAAACTGTGTAGAAAGCCTGAGCCAGGGTCTGAAAGATCTGAAAAAAGGTCTTCAGACCCTGACTCAGGCTTTCTACACAGGTTGCCGAGCCAAAGAGTACACTCATCAAGAGCTTAATTAGTCCATTCAGCATCTTGGCATTGAGTATTTTATTAGTAGTAGCCAGGACTAATTATAGATTCTCATTCTTGTGGAAAAAGAAACTCGTAAAAACAGATTTTCTTGTGCTAATTTTAACACTTTCACAAAGAAAGTCAAATTGCGGAAATTTGAAATTTTACGTCTTTTTTTCACACATTTTTGCAAAAAAAAAGAAAGTGAGTGAAATGATGATTTTTCGTATAAGAGCAAAATTTTTCGAGAATTTTCGTCACCTTTTTGCAGAAAAATTTTTGAGAAATGAAAATCATTCTTGACTCATTTGAGAGAAAGAAAATTACGAGTCCGGCACTTGATCATAACCTCATTTATAAATCGTCAACCCGCGGCCCACTCAACCCTTTTTTCCCAAAAAACGGAGCACTTGAATATCATCTCAATCGTCTCTTTTTAGAAACACGCAACGACTTCGACTTTGAAAGACACGAAGACAGCAACAAAACGACAACAGAAACAACGATCTTCGAAGGAAGAAAAAGAATGATCCAAGAAAGCATGAACACTGAAGTTTCCGCTGCGGCGCGATTCATCACTTCAACCCTTTACGGAAAACTCCCTCGCCGACGAGCCGATCTTTTCGGCGGCGAGTTCGAAATTGCTGTGAAAAAGAAGTTCCAGGTAAATAAAAATAACGGAGATAAGGGTGTAAGCTTCAATTTCAGGGCAGAAAATAAGGGTGTCACTACGTTAACTCTGTTAGAAATACGGCCTTAAAAATCGTGTTAAAAAAGCATAATGATTACCAATCATTACACAATGAAAAAACGGCACAATGGCTAAATTGGCGCCAAGGTCAATGAGTTTCTTGAGTCATTTACGAGCCACTTAAAAATATTTCTGATTTGTAGGCAGATTAACGTGTCATCTTTTACACGCCATAAAATTTCAACAACCTTTAGTAAATTACGAAATACATCTACCATTGTAGCCGTTTTAAATAATGAATATTTTGGAACGAAAGATAGTTCAACTTTCTCTCTCTGGAATCGTTTAAATCAAGGGCCATCTTTGAATAATTGATTTTGAACAAGTTAAAGGCACGTTTTTCTATGTTTTGCTCAATACAGCCTCGACCCAGATGAGTTAAAATTTGATGAATCTTGTTCTCTGGAGCTCTTTCTAAAAGACTTAATTCTAGTGGCGAATCAAACATGAAAGCATTCTCCCCTTTAGTCACAAAAATTAAGGGTGTCACAACGCTATTTTTAAGCGCAAAGATTTGGGTTCTTTTTCTCTTAATTTTGCCCCCTCTTGACCTCTTTTTCTTACAGTAGAACTGGACGTGATTAGAACAAACATTTCGGAGACAGATTGGAACTGAAAAAACTCAGCGTGTCTTTGAATATGTCAAAGCCATCAAACCGGAAACGCAATAACGAGCAGCGCTGCTGAATCAGCAGCCTCTCTCAATTTGACATTTTTATTTTCTGGGAAGCCCAAGAAAGAAGCAAATACAATTTGATAATTACTTAATTTGATCTTCAGGGACATTGGTACCCCGAGGAACCAGCTCGAGGAAGCGCTCATAGATGCATCAATTTTACGTCGAAAGAAGTCGATCCTGTTTTTCACCAAGCTGCGGAATCTGCTTCCATCGCCTTTTCCGAAATCAAGGTTTGTTTTTCTTTACAAAATTTACTTGGTTAGGGGTAGGGTTAGGTATTATGCTCGGTTCAAAATAACGATAGGTTTCGGGACGAATATGTGGGTTTTTGGCCTTTTTGATTGGCTGAAGTCAAGAATGCGAGTTTCTTATTGGCTGTGGTAAAGAATGCTTGTTTTTGATTGGCTCAAAACCCTCTCAAACATCTAAAAATCTACATTCGATTTCGAGAAAATTCCGGCTCATTGAGTAAATAGTCGATTCATAAATGAGCTGTCTCACGTGCCTCGGGCAAGCCCACACATTTGTGTGTCAGCAGTACTTGCCGAAACATTCTTCTTCCGGCTTTAAAAATGTTTGAGCAAATTTCGCGCAGGTGCTTCGCTGAAAGATCAACAACAACTGTTGATATCGAGCTTATTTTCAAGTGCTTGTGTTTTCGAATGCAAACACATTTTTGCAATTTCCGATCAACGAGTTCGCCAATTTGGCCATTGACCTTTTCGTGGAAGTTCGGATTCGGCAGCATTCGAGCTTCGAATTTTATTTTTGCTACGTAAGGTTTTGAATTTACCGACCAGACGTTGCCCCACGTGGCTAATTGACATCGAGCTCAACGAAGACGGAACAAAGTAAATTCGATTTGTTCGCCTTTCCCTAGACTGTCATCTTGAATGCCAAGAAACTCACTTTCCCCGAATTCTGCCAATAAGATAACTGATCACTTTTGACCAATAAGAACCCATAAAAATGCCCAAATCGCTAATCAAATCAGTCCAATCAGAAGCTGCCATTTCGACCCAATTAATAACTTGATTTTGAGAAAGAAGCCAATCAGATTAAAGCTCTTTTTGACCAATAAGAAACCAAAGATTTTTTTGGAACTTTTGTTAAAATTTATTATAAAATCGTGGTCAAAATATGTCCACGTTATCGTTTTTTCGTAATGATTTCTTAAAAAAATCAAAAGAAAAAACGTTCTTTGGTTTGTTTTTGCAGAAAATAGGAATTATCGTAGGGCCGAGGGACGGAAGTTAGACAACGATGACGGACGAGGCCACGTGGGTGCTCGTGTGATGTTATAAAAAGCGCTTGTCTTGGGCGATAAGGAAGCGTAATCAGCTTGTCTTGGCCATGTCCCTTCTCGGGATTCATGCGCTTCCCCAGCTCTAGTAATTATTTATTAATATTACCAGCAGTCAAGAGTTATTCAATCAAACTATCATAATCTTGTTCTTCAAAAGGGGGCGAAAAAATTTCGCGAAAATGTGAATCGCCAAGTTCCCAGACACACGCGCACTTACAGACGTTTAAATCCACCTCAATCTTGTCAGAGGAGAGTGTCACCTGGCTCAGATTTCTCGAGTATTAATCCAGCGCGTTCATCTCAACCGATTATCCGGAATTCAAGAATTTTCCTCTCGCGTTTCATTTTCTTTTATTTTTCGCGAAAGCTGACGCTAAGAGCTTGGGCTTGGCGCGTTTGTTTGTTAATCCAGCTTATTAATTATCTCTTTCTAGGAAAATCTGCCAGCGGAGTTGAGAATCTGGATCGACCCTGACGAGGTCAGCTATCAAATTGGAGAAAAGGGGACGACTTCGATTTTGTACAAGAAAAAAGGAGCTGAGATCGAATATGGAGCTGATATTACTGCTTCTGTTCAGCCACAGGTACAGTAAAAGAAATGACTCATTTGACCTTTGAACAAACTTTTAAACACGAAATATAGAATTTTCGCGAAAAGCAAATAGGGCCATAAAAATCTTGATTTTGAAAGAAGGGCGGTAGTCGTTGTTGATTGTCCGAAAGACAGGTCGTCTACTGGGAAGACAGTCAGCTGCCCCTCGTTATAGTTTGCCCTTGCTCTCTTTCTGTTTGCTTCAAAGGTCAGCTATGCTCAAGGCAAGCAAGTAAAGTCTCTTTCGAAAATCTTACGCAAAGTTGACTTAGTTCAAGATAAGACCAACATTACATTTACACAGCTTTAGCGTAATAGCTCTCTGTTGCTTTAGGGCTTAGCCGGGCCATACAGTATTTAGTGGATCAGTTTCTTGAGAAACTTTTTGATACAGCCCTTTCTGATAACTGTTACATGTAGATGTAGACCAGGGCTGGTGAAAAGGCCTCTCACGTGGGCTCAAGCCGTTGCACTTGAGCTTGAGTAGATAACGTAGATAATGCGAAAATCAAATCCTTAGGCAGCTTTTTCTTTCGCAGCAGATTTTTAAGTGGCCCTTCAATGGGAGCCTTACCGCCGCGAATTGCCTACCTCTCCAATATCAGGAGAAAATTGTCCTTTCTTGTCTGACCGACACAATATTCATTTTCTAATCTGTTCTTTTCTAGGTTTCCCCAATCCGAGCCCAGCATCAGCGAGTCCAGTACCAGCAGCGTCCATTAATGACTGTTGACGAATTCATGAGCACCAAATTCGGTTCGATGAAAAACCGTGGCGCCCGACGAGGCCAGCACAGCTCTACCCACCGGCCACCTGCATACCCCGCTCCAGGATCGCCCACCGGCTTCACACCACAACAACAGCAGCTTCATCAGCAGCAGAGCCAAAACATGAATGCGCACAATTTGCAGCAAGCCGCAAATCTCGCCCGAGCTATTCCCCAAAGTCTCCAGCTGCCGCAACTCAGCGTCCAGCAAATCCAACTCCTCCAGCAACAGCTCCTTCTTCAGCAATTGGCCAACTCACAACAACAACAGCAGGTACAGTTGAAAGTAAAATTTTGACCCCGAAATTCAATCGTAAATCATGAATGAATCTGTCGCCCCTTCTTCCATTAACTCAAATTTGCTCTTCTGAAATGTTCAATTATTTGTTCAGAGCCCCGTGCAGAGCCCTGTCGAGTCCAAGTGCTTCCAGCCGTTTCCCCGTTCGCCGATCAACCCCAACGCGCGGGTCTTCGAGCCCCAGGTGCAGCTCCACCAGACGCCCTCTGGCGGCCTCTCCCCAAGCTACTCCTTCAACTCCTTCCCGCCCAAGGCTGATTCTGAGTCCTCATTGTCCAGTTCGTTCGACTCCCTCAAAAAGAGCTCGTCCTACAACTTCGAGCACGCCTGGCGAGACATTTCCTCCTCTCCCACGAGATGGAGCCCGACCCATTCCGATCCAATGCACTCCGGCGACGATTCCGGCTTCGACAACGCTTCAGTCGACGAAGAAGCCGATCTTGATCCTCTCTTCTTGAATCACATTTCATCACTTCGAATTGAAACGTAAATCGATGAATCAAATCTTTTTTATATTTATATCTACTGCTACTATCTTTTCCCCCCTTTTTTCTTTCCTAAATGAAGTAACGAATTACTTGTGACAATAACAACTGTTTAAATTTTTAACTGTTTATTTTTTTTCTTCTTTCAAAAGAAAAAGGAATCGAAAAGTCTTTTCATCCCTTTTTTAGCTGCTGGAACGGCCCAAGGTCTACTAGAAAACTGCCTCTAGAATAACCCCGTTTCTAGTGAACCCTTTTTATACAGAACTATATTAATATTGTAATTATGGTGTGTATTTTTAATCAGAAAACCCGAAAACCGGAATTGTCCAAAAACCAAAACCACCCAAAAAAAACCATTTGCCAAAAAAAAGAAACATCGCAATAGTCAAATTCAATTTCCAATAGTTCAATTAACCCTTTTTATACAATTCCCAAAGACTAGAATCTCGAAATAATTGAGAAAAAAGTCGCGTTTTCAACATTTTTTTATCCATTTATCTTTCTACTTTCGGTGTATTTTCAGGTGCTTTTCCGCTCTTTTGATTGGCCCTTTGCTTTTTTGAGCAGCGCTATCAAGCGGAAAACACTATATTTAAAAAAGAAATGGAGCATTTTAAACTTACTTGTAACATAGAATTTAATACTGAACTGTCTACTGAATATTTTTTAATAAAAAAATGATCTGCATCAAAATATCAAAGCTAGAAAAGTGTGTTTGCTTATCATCAAGAGCCGAGGTTTTTTTCGAATTGCAAAAACAACAAAAAACAGCCGCAGGATCTGAATTAGGGTTTTCTCGGCAAGCAGATCTCAGCAAGGAAAATATTGAGCATCGGAGAAAAAGACGAAATAGAGAAGAAAAATGACGCCGAAGAATTATGATTCGATGGGTGAGTTTAAAAACTTCCGCCTTTTTTGAGAGGAACTCTATCGCCAGACAATTGTCTAAGACTATTTCCGCCATTTTTTTAGATAATCAATTGGTCAGTCAATAATCCTCCAGACTGATTTTAAGGTCTTATCGTGTTTGAATACCAGAGAGGGAATTTTGAAGGAAAAAATTTGTACAATGATAGATCAACATAAGTTTACAAGAAAATAGACCGGAAATACTCAGCTTTTAGGACTAAACCAATCCAAGGAAGTATATTTTTGGAAGACCAATAAAATTGCTGTACTTGGCCTACTGGCCAATCAAAACCTTGATCCACAAAATCACTTCCATAAATTGGTTTAACCCGCTTTTTCGACACAAAAAATGATGATCATTAATTCCGATTTTCTTTAATAAAGTTATTTTCAAACCGTTTTTAGTGTTTAAAAAAGGACGCCATAAAGGAAGCTCATTTGGAAAAGAATCAATGCTGGGAGCTTCCTTTGTAGATATTCGGAGTTATTCTTCCTTTATATTTGATTTCCGCTGCTTCTTTATCGTTGAGTATATTTGATTATGCTGGTTATAAAAAGTTACTGTTTCCACAAGTCGGTGAAAATGACTCTTTCAACTACGAGTTGTACAGTCAGCAGAATGGCAGTTTTTTCTTTCGCTAAGTTTAGTTGATGGATTTGTTGTTCTGGGAAATCCCACGATCGTAATTCCTAATGACGATAGTGCCCCGTATCGTAATTCTTCCCAAATATAAACCAGTCTTTTTCCGATAAGCAGCACAAATGTTCCTCGAGAAATAATGACAACATGTCCTGGAAGCAAGTTTCCCTTATATGTTGCGATGTTTAATTTAAATTCCAGCGATTTCTTCATGAACCAAGGAATGTTCTTTTCTGACTGCAACTACAAATTTTCTGACAACATTTTCTGACGTAGCTACTTTCTCATGATGAAGAAGAACTTCTAAAATGATCATCAAAATTATAAATTTAGAAATTTGAGTCAAAAAGGCTTTGGAAAAATCTTTCGTTTTTGTCTGCCAGACATTTCTGCAAGAGATGAGGTTGTTGCATCACTGTTTTCAGTGGTTAGTTAGCTTGCGATCTTGCGGAATAACTGGCGATGTAATCTACCGTTGATGTGGGCAAAGCCCGTATCTAGTTTCAATATCTCCGGTAGTACGAAGGTAGAGAAGGTCCTCCTCTCTGTACGCTCCACCGCCTGATTGGCTCGAAAAAATATACGTTCCAAGGTCTTTAACTCTCGATTCCGGCGTTTTCAGGGATTTTTCACTGAAGAGAAATGAAAGATAAGGGTCTAAAAAGTCTGAAAACCGTCAAATCAATGTTTTTACTCGAGCGATAAGCCAAAAATACCATAAATGAAAGCACTGGAGTTGCCCGCGGGAGGGTCCGCTAGGTTACCGGGCAGAGTGCTGATTCGTGCAGCAAAATTCCTATTTTTCTTCAATCAGGCCTAGAAACGGTGCAATCAGTCTATTCCTAGGCGATACAAGACTCAGGTACTATTTTTCATATTTTCACTTTTCCTCCAATCGTTTGAAACTGTAACAAACACTAGAGCATAAAAAATAAACAGAGAGTTGGAAAACTGGTTCAATTTTTGGATTATCCGCGTGGCGGGAACTCTAGGGACTCTTCTGTCCAGGGTTGATCTTTTGAAAGCATCTATTTTTTGGAGAAGGAGGAATTCTAGCGCGGCGCAATCAAAGCACCGCGAAATGGCAAATGGAACACTCGCCGGCCCCTCAGCCTCTTTTCCCCCTTTCCGGTCATTCATTTTTCACATTCCATTTTTGCCACTTTTTATTGATTTTAATCAGGGTCATTATTACGGCGTTTATTACGCGTGAGATAGAGAGAAAATAAATCAAAGCGCCGAACGATGGCGCATATGAGCGCGCAGAGCCAATCAGCGCTCAGTATGGCTTCGTCGAGGAGCAAGAGATCAATTGCTATTTCGGTTGTTGGGGTGAGATTTTTGACACTAGAATTTTCGCATTTTTTGGATGGCTCCTTTGTCGAAAAAAGAGCTAGAATCGTTGCAAACGATCAAAGGAGAGTTGCAAACGAGACGAGAAAATATTCTAGCGCTGCTGCGAGAAAGAGAAAAAGAAAACCTAGAGATAGAGAAGCAAAAATGTCACTCACCCCAATATCAGGAGTACTCGCAAAACGGCGATTACTCGGAGCTGAGATTCGATCAAAATATTCAAAATGGAAGGGGTCGACTCCCGCCGCTTTCGAACAAGTCCTCGACTTATTCTGGCCGGACAAATGGGACTAGTTACACTTCTGGCACCCCGACGCAGTCTAATTATAGCGCTACTACGGCAACTAATCAATCCTATTCCAACTACAGGCTCGGTTCTTTCCTTCTCCACAATTTTTTTTCATGCTTTCAAAGGGTCAACCTGGCATGGGATTATGAAAACTACTCTTTAGAAAATAAAGTATAATACAGTATTATTAATACTTTAGACAACAGTGACTTGTCTCTGTTCTTTTTCAGAAGCCATAATAATCGTTTACGTGTCACACCTTTATATTAATATTATTTAATAGATATGAACTAATATAATTATGATCATCCCGCAAGTGACGAAGCATAGAACTAGAAATTCCTAAGAACCCAATCTCAAGTCATAGTAGTTTCCAACCCACTACTACTCACAACACACACACCGTAAATACCACTATCTTGAACCAACGGCGTAATTCAGACGGCGACGGCACTAGTAGCGCCGTTCAACAACTTCAGCGAAACTACGAAGCTCGCTCCGGCCCTTATCTAACACAAGCACTTGGCTACCTCGACCCGGCGACACGGGCAAATCTTTCAAAATCTAGCGGCGCGATAAATCAAATGGCGGATAACGTTTCCCTGTCTTCGCGATCGTCTACTCTTGCTGCTAATCAGAAAGGAGGCAGTATGGGGCTCTCCAACAACGTCGACCCCGCGGCAATCCTTCTCCAGCAGCAACTCGCCGGCGGCGCTCCATCAAAGCCACCAGCCGGCGGCTACACCGGCGGTGCCATTCAAAACGGCACAGCCTCCACCACCGCCATCGCACCAATTCCAGAAGTCGTAAAGGCCCCCGAATTCCAACTCTTCAAAGAAGCAGAGCACAATGCTGAGCTTCTATCGGGCCTAAACGAGCTGCGAAACGAGAACTTTCTCTGCGACGTCACTTTAATGGCTGATGACAAACCCTTTTCCGCCCACCGCGCTGTCCTTGCTGCTACCAGTCCCTATCTGAAAACTCTCTTCAGCGACATGAGCGGAGGCAAAATCGAACACGAAGTCGTCGAAATCCGAGGCGTTTCTGCCGAAGGTCTCAAACACATCATCAACTACATCTACACTTCTGAGCTCAAATTGAACATGACAAACATTCGAGAGGTTCTCGCTGCTGCGGCGCATATGCAATTAAAGGCCGCTACTAACTTCGCCATCACTTTTCTCAAGGTAAAATTTGAAATTTGAAAAATCATAAACTCGATCATATTTTTCTGAGTAGATAATTTAGCTTGATTATTATTATGAAATAAGCTTTATAGAATTACAAACAGGGCAACGCCGAAGATTTCGCAGGCGATCATTGATAGTAAAAATTTTAGCACGAAATCTCCGTCTTCAATTGTGTCGACATCATCCAAATCTCCGAGCAATTCGAACTCCCAGAAGTCGAAGAGAAAGCCTACTCCTTCATTGCTCAACACTTGAATGAGCTCGTGAAAACCGAAGAAATCCAAAAACTCTCGATCGAGAACATGAGTTTCCTCCTTGATTCCAACGGCCTGAAAAACGTCTCCGAGCTCGAACTTTTCGAAGCCACTCGACAATGGCTCATGTTCGACCAAAACCGATACCAGTACATTCGGCCGCTTATGGAGAAGATCCGCTTCCCACAGATACCCCCGCGTGACCTCCTGAGATATGTCAACTTTGTTGACTTCATGCGCATCGAGTGCAATTATTTGCTCCTCGAGGCGTCCAACTACCACATGCTGCCACATTCCCAGCCGATTTTGCAATCTGTGAGAACCCAAGTGAGGTCAAACGATTTCCGTATGGTCGTCGTTGGTGGTGTCGACCAACAAGATCGCGTGTCCAATCAGCTTCTCGCTCTTACACCAGATGTTTCCAAGTCCGACTTCTTGCCACCAATGCACGAAGGTCTCTGCTCTCACTGCGTCGCTGTGTTAAATAACTTCCTCTACGTCCTTGGTGGTCAGAATCTCTTTGATGAGCGAGGCAACACAGCTGTGAACAGCGTTGTCCGATACGATCCTCGATTCAATATTTGGATGCGAATCGCGTCCATGAACGATAAGCGAGCTGGTTTCACCGTTTCCGTCGTCGACAACCGCCTCTATGCTCTTGGTGGTGTCAATGCTGCTGGTCGATTGAGCTCTATGGAATGCTACAGCTTGGAAGACGATAGATGGAGATATGTTGCTTCCGTTCAAACTGTAAGTCGCTTCTTCTTGCTTCTATAACTAATCAATAATTTTAGGGATTGTGCGACCATGCTGAATCTGTCCACGGAAATCTGCTCTACGTTTCAGGAGGATTCAAGGAAGGCCGATTTTCTAACCAACTGTTGGCTTATTCTCCTCGACACGATACTTGGCATGAACGAGCTCCGATGAATGTTCCTCGAGGATGGCATACAATGATCGCTTTTGGCGAGGTGGGATTCATTGAAGTTTAAATTTCTAGTTAAAATCTAGAGCATCTTTGTTACTGGTGGTAACGCTGGCCTGAACAAGCGAGTGGACATCCACGAAACTGAAATCTACTCTGTCATGTCTAACCAGTGGACAATGGTCTCCCCACTTCCGCTGCCTCAATCTGAGGGTGGTGTATGCTACCATAACAACAAGTAAATGTCCTTTATAAGTTCAAGTTTTTATCTGCTCCTTCAGAATCGTCATCATTGGTGGCTACTCCTGGACTCATCAGAAATGCGTCAACACAATTCAAGCCTACGATCCAGTCAAAGACACTTGGGAGCGACCCGGAAATCTTCCAATTGAACTTTCTGGTGTCAAAGCTGCTGTCCTTTCTATTCCATACTCACTCTCGTCTGGTGGCAAAAAACCTTCCTCGGTATGATTTTTCAAAGAATCGCAAGTAATAATTTTGAATCAAGGGAATGTCTTGGCCTCCTCGATCGAGCAGATCTCTCAACAACACTGGCATGGGTGCAAACAGCCTTCCACTCGGATCTCTTAACGATCCAATGAACATGGGCGCTCTTCGGGATTCTTTGGGATCAATGTCAAAGGTATAATAGCGAATAAAGGCTAAGACTAAATTATACATTTCAGACCGGAACTGGCGGTTTCGGCGGAGGAAATCGAGGCTACGCCCCATCTGAAGTTGGTTCCATCGCTCCATCGATGAGCCGTCCCGGAACTTTTGGAGATTCTGCATCACGTGCTCAGTCTGTCGCTGGTGAAGACCTTGGTGAAGGAAGTGGAGCTCGAGGATCCTACCGAGGCGCCCCTGCTTTCGGCTCTGGACCTTCTGAGCGCGGTTACAATGGACAGTACTAGTTAGACAAGCTCTAGAAACAAGCTTCCGTATGCTCTCTTCTTCCTTTTCCCTACATTTCTTTTTGCTACATAAACTCATCAACATAAAAAGTTACTGTAAATAGAAAATATTACCACTTCTTTAAAACTGTATCAATACTTCCTGTTCGCTAAGTTTCAAAAGATAGAACACATCAACAATCATCAATATTCGCGATTTACTCTACAACTTTACACGAATAAAATTGCTGGATAAATTTTGATTGAAATGACTTTTATATAGACTTTCAGAGAATAATAAATAGTTGGAGAAAAAAGAGAATTATAAAGATAAAAAGAATTGAGTGAGTTTTGATGATCCCGGAAAAAGGATGAATGCCGTGAATTCCAAAACGGCATATTCACTCGTGCTCTGAGGGATCTTATTCCGACTGCACCATTTATCAAAGTCTTTTATGTACATCTTCATTGAGGACCTTTTTCAACTCCTCGTTTATCAAACAAATGATAGGCTCATAAAATCATTTCTTCAAATGTAGAGTGATTACTTCCGGCCTTTGCTTTTTCCGAATACAGGATTTCGTACTCCTCCTTGTCTTCCGGCAAAAATTCACCCCAGAAGTAATAATTGAATTTGTAAGAGTCTGGTCGATAAAGAATTCAAAAAACTAAATTATTCCTTCTGACGAGGAAAAATGTCTGTTTTCTTAACCTGAGTAAAGTCCGAGTCAAATTCATGGAATCAATATCGTCTCAAGATTGTTATCTCTTCTTCTTTATATAGGATAAGTACGAATAATCACGTGATACTTCGGAGCAGACATATTCTCCATTAGAAAGTCGGCGATTCGCGCTGGAAAATCGGCTTATTCACGAGGCATCTGCCCACTTCTGGAACGAGAAGTACATTTATGAGTATGATCGGTGGACAATGGCGCCCCACTCGTCTGCTTTATTCCACTTTCCTCTTCTGACAAGCGATTTCGGTCTTTGAGTGACTTTGATTTATATTTTATTGGGAACATTTTGGACTGAACCTCTTTGCGCCCCAATCTCATTTTCAAACGCTGAATCTGTCAATTGGAATACACCGCGATTTACCGTTTTGAACTCAGAGAATAAATCGAGCCAGTCAATCTACGACGGATTCAACTTTTGGAAGCCCACAGTCTTCGAAGAGAAAACTCGTTAAAAGACGAAAAAAAAGCGGATACGGAAATATCTTCAGAAAACTAAAGGAAAAACTACAAACAAGACGATGAATCTGAAAATATTCTTGGAAAGTGTTCAAATTAATCAATTTTTACTAAAACCAGACGGCTAAACTTGAAGATTATTTTAATAAATACTCTCATTTTTCCTTCAAAAAAGTCATTTTCGAATGATTTTCGGCTCTAAAATTTTGATGACTAGCCAGAGAAATGATGTCCTAACGATTACGACCTAACCCTAACTCTAATTATGCCAGTGAAAGTCAGGGCCTGACTGTAAGTATCATAAATACATTAAGATTTATGAAATAAAACACTAAAATAAATTGAACACTAAAAGATTTCTACAATAACTGCCATCTCTCAAAAAGCTTGCAAGGAGGGAATATGTATTGCGGTAAGAATTTAATTTCACCTTTTCCTTCATAATTCCTTAATTCTAGTGCTACGAAAAAGTGTTTATCAATTTGGAGAAAAGCCCGATTGCTGAAAAATGCGGGATGTTGTTGCGGAAGCAGTGCTGTATTCAGTATTTGATCGTTTCAAATGGAATGGGCTTGCCCGCTCATGTAAGTTGGCATGGCAAAAACACCGCTTATTTGTAGGAGACGTTTTATGTTAATTATCCCTTCTGTTATAGAACAAATTCAATCAGCTAGCATAATTGTCTAGGCTCAATTAGATTTAATTGCTCTTAGATTTTCGTTTACTATTTTAGCAATAATTGATGATTCATGACTTTTTCTAGGGAAAAACTAATTGCAAAAATCTACCCGAAGAAAATGGACCTCTGATGAACATTTTTTCCACCGAGGAAGAAAAAAAACCAAGCCAAGGAAAGGTTCAAAAATTGAGAAAACCTTAGATCTAATTTATCTTTAAATTTTGACGGCCAGGTCGGTTTCTGCGGATTATGTGCTGCGGTGTGAATTTAGCTCAGCCGGGTTCTTCAAATTGATTGGCCCAAAAAACGAACACAGGCTTTTGATTGGCTGAAAACCCCCATAAAGATCCCATAAAGATCCCATGAAGATTTACCCGATTTACCAATGAAAAAACAAAATTTTTGCTTCAAAATACAAAACATTTTTGAGCTTTTTCACAGAGGAAATTGAACTCGGCCTTGAAAACCTGGACGAAATCGCCGGAGATTACTCGGACACCTATCAAGAAGACCTTGAACGCTGCGCAGCCGAACGAATCGCCCAAAGAGAATCTCAAGGAAAGTGACAGTAATTCGTCTAAGCCCCCTCTAGGGACGTTCTCTTGGCAGCATTGAACTAGAAATTGTCCTACTAACGTACTCGTTGTTTGGCTACAAGGAGGGAGTTCCATACAAAGTGGATTCTACTCAGCTCCGTCGACTTGCGACAGCTTTTTTTGAAGAAGGCAGTGAATTTCGGCAGCTTTAATGAGGTCTAAAACCGATGACTGGCGGTTAAAATAGGAGACAATCACTTATCTCAAATTGGAAGGCTTCTCCAAAAAAATCAGAACTGAAGTAGAAATAAGATAATGCAGTCTTTTAGTTGTAGTTAGTTTAGTTGGTTTTACAAAGGATTTATTTCTCAAAACGAAAACTCTGCGATTTTCTTAGCACTTGGGGAGATGACCACTTGTCAAGGAGCAGTAATGACTTTCTCAAATATAATATTCTGGCGTCAAAAGAGTCACCTGATAAAGTAATCAATATGATGATTTATGTTCTTCCATTGACGGTGACGATTATGACGATTTCTTTCATTACTTACAGGTAAAACAAAAAAGACGATTAATGAACTGAAATTAACAAATGATCAATTAATATTTCAGGTATCGAAAAGGAAATATGCCAACTCTCGGTTCAATAAGAAAATATCCCAAGAGTCCCGTTTTGACCGCAAGTCAGGTAAGAACATCTTGCCGGAAATACGCAACGGTTTCTGTAATTTGATAATTTAGAGTGCGGTCTTTACAGCGGTCGCAGCTACAGATGTCTCAAAGTGAAAAATTTTCTTTCGATTTCTTGCGAATAAAAAAAATCTCAATTCAAAGTTCTTGATTCAAAATTTTGACCAAAAATTGTCAATTTTCCCTTCCCTAACCCTAACCCTAACCGAGAATATCGAGCTAAGCTTCTGAAAAAGCAAAAGTTCAAAACCAAAATTCATCAAAAAATTGGATCGCCAGATGGGTCATAAAGCCGCTGCTGGATTGTCGCTTTCCAGAAATAACGGGGGTCGTTATAAATCGGTTATTGTTTTATTCGTAAAAGCGTAAGTCCCCAACGTCTGACTTTCGCGATCATATTTTTACGATCATTTTGCGAGAGATGAATTCTGCTTCGCTTCGCATTCATCATCAACTTGATAGAGACTCGATAACAATCCTGAAAGCCGACTGAAAACTCCCACTCATCTCAAAGGCAGATTCATAAAGAAGAAAGGAGAAAAAGACAAGAGAAAGAGAGAAACCACCCACGAAGCGTAAAGGTTATTATAAAAATAAAATCAGCAAAGTAAAGATATTTTTCTTCGCCAGATCTTTGAATAAAAGCCGCGCAGCGGCTTTTTCTTGGAATGAAGCCGCGAAGCGGCTTTCCCAAAATGACCATTTTGTTTCGAGACTCTGAGTCAGGGCCTGACTCAGGTTTTAAACACAGGCTGCCGACTCAGCTAATAAAATTAAAATTGAAAATTAAAAGTGAAGCAAAAATCGTTTTTATGGTCCGATCTTGGTCTGGGAAGTTGAGTTTCTAACGCTAGAATCAAAAATATTAATTATCAAATGAAAAAAATATGTTACATGTGCAAATGGAACGTGTTGACCTGCGACGCGAGATCGTCACATTTTCGGCGTTTTCTAAAGTTTTGAAAAGAGTCAATTATGAAATAACTCGCTTGAATTTTAGCTTCTGTTGTGGTTCGTGAAGGTGCGAAGATAGGCTCAAGACGGGTGTCAAGTCCCTCTACCTCTGAAGAAGCTAAGGAGCTAAGGAAGTGGAGATAATGCATTGAGAGAGGAACACACACAGCGAAACGAAACCATGTTCAAGGAGGGCTGAGCCATTCTCTACTAGGTGGCCCTAAAAACATAATTCCAAATAAATTTGAGCAAATTAACAGCGTCAAATAATGCTGGTTAATCTACTTTGAAAGTAGTACTTTCCAGTGGCTTTCTCACAGACTGGAATTGTTTATCAAAGACAGTCTATGATTAAAAGTCTCTGAATTCCGCCCAAATTACTTATTTGAAAATACCTTATCAACTCTTATCAAAATATAAGCGCTTTCAGCCAATCAAAACGCTCCTCGAACCCATCCAAAATAAAAAAAATAAAGGGCCCTTCTCCCTAACCCTAACCAACAGATTGAATCTCTGACCCTAACCCAAATCTTTGTTGGAACCTCTCTTATTCGAAAAGGAAAATATGAATCAGCCCGCTAAAAGGGGGGTGTCGTAAAAAGGCTGAACGGAACATTCAAAAGGAAAAAACAAAACAAAGGTGAATTCTTTATTTTTCAAAAATACAACAACATATCATTCTCTTTCCATAATTGGCCTTTTCCGCGAAATAATGAAGTCGATTAAAAATTGTTTGTGTTGGTCCAAATCAGCGTCAATTTGTCAATTACGATCCATAATTGGTAATAATAGTCCATTCTTTTGGCTCGAGCAATTGATCACTTCTATTTACTAAGAGTTATTTAGGGATAAATAAAGCCACTACCACTACCATTGTAATTCGCAATATGCTATTTACAATCGACAACTGTTACAGTTGTTTTAGCTTGTTTCAAAATTGAGTCCAGAGAGTCCAGTTTTTTTGGAGAGTATTTTTGAAACATCGTGGTTACAAGATATATTCTCAAAATGATAAAATGCAAAACGCATAGTATTACCCCTGCGAGTTATTTATGCCCCTTTCTAACATGCCGCTAGAGACGGAAGTGAAACGATCAAGCGACATGTCAACACAAACCGATCTTCCCACAGAAATTCCTCAACCGCAGCAGATGTTATCGACGCCTTCTCAATGCTTTCTCCTTCAGTTATCCGGGTTGAAACGATAAATATTTTTCAAAAAAATGACTATTTGCTAAGTTTAACTTTCAAAGTTCTACCGGCTTTCAAAAAAATGATAAAACTCAGTTTTTTTCTATCCTGGGCTCCGAAACCTGTGTAGAAAACCTGAGTCAGGGTCCTAAAAGATCTTTGAGAAAAGCGGCAAAGCGGCTTTCTTAATTAAGAAGCCGCAAAGCGGCTTCGCCATAATCACCAATTTTGACGAAGCTTTTCTCAGGTTTTCTCAGTACCCTGACTCAGGTTTTCTGAACAGGTCTCTGTAGAAGCCAGTTTCAACCCGTTTCAAGCCCCAAGTTTGCAACGTTTTGGAAAACTCGCTGGAAGCTACCCTCAGACTCAGCGGCGAGTCCCTCCAGAAATTTCTTCCTTACAATGGTAAATTTTCAAGGCCAGGAAAAATGAGGAAATTTTATTCTAGGAAGCGATTTGCGATCGCGAAAACGCGACCGCTCAGCGTTGGACTTGTCGAGCTCGCTTGAATTTTCGGAATTTTTACGAAGCTCTCAAGAACGCTCGGCTCGAAACTCGACGGCCGATTCTTTCTGCCATTCGAATGCATTCACGCACTCCCACCAGGCGACGACTTTTGGCTTCAATCCGGCGCACAGTCACAGTCAAATGCAAATGCCGATTACCCATATGCAAGCTTATCAAAATAGTAAGTTTCATTCAAGTAATGATTTAAGCGAATTTTAGCGAATTCAATTAACTCAAACTAGGAAAGTATCAATTGGCCAATTGGTTTTGTTTCGCGGCGAAACTTTTGCCTATTATTTTCACGATTGTTTCGAGTGCTTAGTAAACGGGGGAGAACAAGATGTCCGACTAAGACTCGTTTATTTTCCTTCAATGAAAAACATATCTTGTACGGACGTAGAAAAGACCAACATTTCAATGACTTTGCTATTTTAACCAGAGTTGCAAATTTTGCTTTATTTTTGCTGAGCTGAGCTGATCTGAGTAAAAATTTCTCTGATCGGAGCTGAGCTGAGCAGACCTTTTTTTAAGCTGGTTGAGCTGAGCGTACCCTAATTAGAGCTGAGCGGACCTGGTTGAGCAGAGCTGAGCTGAGCTTTTTTTACTGTATTTTAGTAAGTGATAAGTAAAGTGATAATTGTCTGAGCTGAGCAGAACAGATCACGGTCGAGAATAATTGAGCTGAGCTGAGCTGAGTGAAAATAGTGTGAGCTGAGCTGAGAAGATCATATCATTTTCAAAAATCACTGAGCTGAACTGAGCGACTGCTCAGCTCAGTCAGCTAGCTTAGCTCATTGAGCTCAGCAAATTTGAAACTCTGATTTTAACACATTAAAAATATATAAATTATGCTTTACTTAGTTTAAAAAATTATCATGATAACTCATTAATTTTTTTTGGCTATATGATTTGCCCTAAAAAGGATCGCACGATAAATAAAATAATACAAAAATAAGTGACGCAAGAAGCAGGAGTGCTTATTCATTCAGCCACGATCCGCTTACGTTTAATATCGGAAATTCAAGAATTTAATTTTCAGTGTATCAGCAAGCAAACGTTTATGCAGCCTCTCATCCCGTGACGCCAAAGCTTGAGCCGGGCGCAACTCAGCAAAACGCGCATTTGACAGTCGAAAGTGACGAGCAATTCTCCTGCAATTGGGGTAGCTGCGCTGTCGTTCATCACCAAATCAACGATCTCGTCGAGCACATCAACAAAGATCACTTGGAAAGAGATGGAAGAAGAGACCTTGTTTGTCATTGGCAGGGTTGTTCAAGGGGCAAGAAACCGTTCAAGGTAAGATCGTTTAATAACATTTAAAAGCTTAGTTTATTTTCAAAATTTTCTCAAAAACGCCACGGTTAAATTCAAATCCCATGAGCAGAAGATTCGACTCCTCCCTGTTGATATAACGACACTTATTACGTGCACGACAAAATTTCGGAAATTTTGAAAACTCGAAACTTCCTGTTTCAAAGTAGCCTTTTTGGAAGTCCGGAATTAAGTCACTTTATTTTGTTATGTAGGGATTTTGTTTACAATTTATTTACCGCAATTAATCGCATAAAATGGCCAAGAGGTGGCGCTATTTTTAGAAAAGCGCCATCAGCTTTGATTTGATTGGTTGAGCGAAAATTAAGGGCTCTTACCTAAAAAAAGGCTTTTTTTGGAAAAATTCGAAAAATAAAAGAGACTGTATAATTCTGGTACTGTAGTTGGCTGTGTTTGCAATAACTGAGTATTGTTAGAAAGCAACGAATAAGAGGTTCGGGGGATTCAGACAGAAACATACGATTTGTTGGTTTTTAATCTAACTGGCTTGTTTCAGGCATTATACATGTTGCGGATTCATATGCGTAGCCACAGCGGCGAAAAACCTTGCGAATGCCCGTATCCCGGCTGCGGAAAACGTTATTCACGTCACGAAAACTTGAAAACTCACATGCGCAGCCACACAAACGAGCGACCTTACGAGTGCCAAATGCCAGGTTTGAGACCCTTTTTTCTTTTTTTTGATAATCTAAGATTTAAGATTTTCAGCTATAAATCAAGTGATATATAATTGAAAAATAAGCGGCCTTGGAATTTTTATTTTTCCGTTAGAAACTGTTCAATGTGTGTAAATTAGTGATAACATGATTCAAGGGTGCCACAAAACATTTACGAACGCATCGGATCGGGCCAAACACCAAAACAGGACTCATACGACTGAGAAGCGCTACATTTGTGATTTTCCAAACTGCGAGAAGAGATACACAGATCCAAGGTAAAAACCATCATTCTTTCAGAAACAAGATGATAAATTGTGGGGGAGACCAAAGATGGTCAAGCCAAAAATGCTCGGCGGTCAGAAACAATAGATAATGACTAAATTAGCTTCGTCACTGAAATTCCGAACTTGACCGCAGTTCAATTTTGAATAAGAAAAGTTTGATGTAATCTGATTGAAAAATCGGTAAAATTTCATGCTCAGTAATTTTATATTCGTTTGATTGAACTAAAAATCAACGACTCAACGTGAGTCACTGAAGTTCATTCCTCTAACTGTATTTCTAAATCCACTATAAAAATCTCCTTGTAGCTCGCTGCGAAAACACAAGAAAACAGTGCACGGAGATGACTCCCATCGTCCACCAAATCGAAAAATTCGAAAAACAGAGCCGAAGCCAGACTCGATGGGGCAGTTCACAACTCAAGCGCAGCGGAAAATCTCCACTTACCAACCAAAAACCCGTCCTAGCACAGTCCTCGGTTAGTTATCCCTCCAATTGGATACGTAAAAACGATTAATTCAGGTTCAACCGGCTCTCCAATGGGCCAAGATTCGGGAATGGAACGCGACGGCTCTGGATCGGACATCGTCGTTGATCGACTTCATGGCACCGCTGCTACTGGCGACGTGATGACAGTAACGCAGCAAAGTTCCAAGCTATCCGTAGTTGGTCAACGAGCACGATCTGTTTTCAAAAATTTGAAAACGGGCGTCAGCAGCTTGATGAGCCAGAAGAAAGATTCCGCGATTTATATGTCCGAATCAATGCAGAGGTACTTTTTTATTGCTCATTCGTGAATTAAAATATATTCAGTAGTTCTGAATGCGATTTGAACCAGGAGGAATCATCGATTTCTGGATCCCCTAGCAAGGAAAAGGTCCTTACAACATGTGAAATGCAATAGTTTTTAGCGTGAACTTGAATTTAAAGCTTAACCCATCCTTTAATTCGGAGCAGAAAATGCAGTTTTTTAAAGGTTTCAGCATTTACTCCTCTAATTAAAAAGATTATCCTACTTGACCTTAAGCAACAGCCGCTGAAAACCATAATAAGCGCTGAGCAACGGTACCAGGAATGGAATTAATTTTTACGAAATAAATAAATTAAAGATTGAATTGATTAATTAAGCTTGGTTTTGCTTCGGATTTGTCACGTTTTTGCTGGATAATTAGCGGCGTTTTGGACAATAATAAGCTTGAATCGCATCTGTTTGACCCGAAACAAGGGTGGGAAGATTTGATAATTGCTCCATTCTCATCTTCAGAATACAATAATTATCCTTTTTTTTTATTTGAAAAATATCAATTTTAAATTCCAAAAAAGCTTGAAAATCTGCACAATCGAAGCCAAAATCTCCCCCCAACTCCCTCCGCTGCTTCTAGCAGCTATGTCCCCTCAGTCGACGAATACTGGCAAGATCCCTCATCACCATCCTGGCCGATTTCGCCCAAAAACCAGCAAAAACAAAGCCCGACTGCTCCTGCGCAAGCTCCGCGGCTTCACGAATTGGAGCCGCTCTCTTGCAAATCCGAGCGAAAAGAAAATCCATGCCATTCGCTTGGAGCCCCTCAGCGTGATTTTCATCCCGCAAATCAAACTGCAAACCGAAACCATTGGATGGCAATGATGGGGCATCATTCTCCGCACCCAGCAGCGTCGCCCTCAAATTACGGCGCTTATCCATCGCCACCTCCTCAAGCCGAAAGTAATCCATACGTCCATTACCAACCACAAGGTCCCGCGATGGGCTATCATCATCCGTGGGGACAACCTTGGCCGTACAGTCCTTCTAGCGACCCAAATTCGCCTTCCAATTATCCGATGAGTACTGTTTTCAACCCAGAAGGTACGTATCCTAACGTGAGAAACTTCAATGTTTTTTTGATTACTTAGTAAAAAGAAAAACCGTATTTTTATTCGGAAAGAAAAAAACAAGGTGGAAGATTGTTTTACTCACTACAAAGGAACAATTTGCTGAGCGGCCGATCCACGTTTTCAAAACATTCAGGATCTTAAATGTCTAAATTTCGTAGAGAGCTATTAAAACGAACGACTTTTAGGAGCATCATAACAAATATCTATTTCTTATTCCCTTTATTAAATTAACGAAACCAAAAAACGACGATTTTATAAAGGAATACCATGTTTTCCTTCTTTTGTTAAAAAATTTACTTATATTATAAATTATTGTAACAAAATATAAATTATTATTTATATTTTTTTTTATTTTTTTATATCATAAAAAATATTTTTTTTTTCTAATTTTTTTATTTGATAAAAAATTTATTTTATAAAAAATTTTATATTATATTATATTATATTATATCATTAAAAAATTTATTAAATTTATTTATTTTTTAATTTTCTTTATTTGAAAAGTAAATTTTATCCAAAAATTCAGGCTTCAATAAAATGAATGTGATGACCCGAGAAGGCCTGTGGCAAATGTACAACCGAGAAAACAATCTCTACAGTCAGATGCTTTCGGACCAGAATCGACAGAAGCAGAGCTAGAATAATTGTGACACTGAAATTGAAAGTTCATTTGCTGAAAGAAAATTATGTTCAGAGCTGCGTATACTGCCGCGAATTAATAAAATATGAGAAAAATTCAATTTTTTTTTTATTCTAAAAAATGTATTCTTAAAAAATATATTTTCATGATTGAAAATATTTTTCATAATCAGGACGATTTGTCAACACTCTAAAATATTTGCTCAGATAAAAATCGTTCTAGCAAGCCGCAAAACTACAACGAAAAACACCCCTACGTCTTCAAAAAGAATCTTCAAAAAAGTTTCGCGCGCGAAACATTCAATCGCGCCGTGGCGATCAAGACCGCTCATGGTGGCGCTAAGGTCGGCGCGGCGCTCTTATATTTTTTATAGATTTAAAAATTATTGTTTTCTGGTTCTCATTATCAAAAACCAAGTCTAACCATCAGTCTTTTTCTCGAATAGATGGTCGGGCTTTGGCTTCTTCTTTTTATACGTAAGTTTCAAGCAAAAAAAAAGAGAGATCTCAAAAAAATTATCCAAAAATGTCGACAAAAATGTCGACAAAAATCGACAATGCAAACCCTAAATTGTCGACAAATGTTAAAATTAGACTTAATAGGAGTAGGGCATTGTCGACAATTTAGGGTTTCCATCTCGAAAAATTTTCGATAAAATTGTTCAATCAAAAATTTAGACGAGAGCCATGGTCTCTCAAAACTCGAAAGAGACCTTTTCAACGATGCCTGTGTCCCAAAAACAGAAGAAGACTTCCAAATCCTAGAGAAATTCATCGTCCCTCACGAAGACCGACCCGATTTCTTCATCAACAACCCAGCCACGAACAACCAGCTCAAAACCAAATTCAACGGCCGCTCCTATGCCAAATCCAACGGCTACTGCGACATCGGGACATTCGACAGCTGGCAAAGCTGTAGCGAAGTCGGCGAGTGTTACGAAGATTGCTGGGACGGAAAGTGCCACGAGTTCAAGAAAAACGGCACGACTCCCTTTCCGAAAAACTTTTCCGAAGATGGAAAATGCCGGGAAAAAATGCTGCTGTGCGCGAAACAATGTGCAGACAATCCAGACTGCGACGCGTTCTCGTTTTTGATGCTGGAGAAGTCGAGCTACTATCAAGTGTTCAGATGCAACCTCATGGCCGGAGGGCTCTGTAAACCATCAACTATTGATCCAATTCCACCACGCGCTGTCTATCACGTCAAAAGATCCTTCTACGAGACATTGAAACCAGAACAGCTAGAAAATGACGACTCCTTGCAGCAATTTTGGACATCGTGGAGCCAGTGCCAAACCAAGGCAAAGTGCGGAGAAGGAGTCGAAAACAGATCGAGGCGGAAAGAAGATGGCGGAAAGCAGTGGAATGCAAGAAAGTGCCATCAAATGACAAGTACTGGAGAGCCGATTCTCTGTCCGAAAGAAATCGTACTTCCCACAATCGCTCATGGCCTGACTCAATGGTCTGAATGGGGATCCTGTTCAAAAACCTGCTTTGACCCGTTCCGAAAAACTTTCACAGAAAAAGGCCAGCGATTGAGAACCAGATCTTGTGGAACCTGCCAAAATCCCGATTCGTCCAATTTCTGCGAAAACCCAAGTAACTTGCTGTTTTCCGAAGAAAAAGAAGGGCAAGACCTGCCATATTGTGAAGGAGAAAAAGTCGAAATAGAAGAATGCAACGTCCACCAATGCCTTCCGCACTCGAACCTCGGTTGGGCCGAAGATGGCAAAACTAGGGACTATTATAAAGTCGAAGGTTGGGCAACTGCGCCAGAAAATTCCGAAACCGACAACGCCCAGTTTCAAGGAAAATGCCCAAATTACGCGACTGATGCTTACAAAAGTGTCCTAATCAATGGGGATGTTCGAAGAAACCTGAACGCAAAGATCAATCGAAAGAGAAAAGCTGCTTTTGCAGAGTGCATGAAATTGTGCCGCAACGAGTCTGCCAAGTGCAAGGCTGTTACGTTCAAACTTGAATTCGACAGCGAGAGCGGCAGCCCTAATTGTTTCCTTCACGAGACCAGGTGCCACGAGAGCAGCGATTTCACAACAGACGATGCGCAAGTTTGGTACGCTTACAAAAACCACTGCTTTGCGAAAAACTTCTGCGCTCACGCAGGTGACAATTGGCGATCCAAATGCGACGCGTCCGGAGAATTCGCCTATCCAAACTTGCCCAAGTGCTCTTGTCAGGGATCGAAAGACAAGCACACGTCTGGGCGATTCTTCGGAAACGCTCTTGGATGGCGAGAATTCAACGAAACAACTAACATGTACCAGCCGCGAATTCCCGCACCGAAATTTTACAATGAAAAACAGTACTCTCGAATTTTCAACACTGAATCCACGACTGAGCAATATTTGCAAGCCTACGAAGATAATCTGCTGATGTGTCACAGTAAGTCCAATTTTCAGAAAAAGAGACTCTTGAAATGAACTTCTCGATCATTTTTTCTATTTAAATTAAGCTTGATATGATAATTATATAACAATAAGGTTAAATCAGCGCGCAAAATGGCTCAATTTCAAAGTATTATAAAATAATTATCGCGATTGTATTTTTGCCAAGCGATTAGTTCATCATTGAGACAAGAATTATAATCATCATTCAAGAGCAAAAACAGATAGCTCTTAATTTTCCTTTCCGCTAGAATGTAACAACACGTTGTTATAATTCAATTTCTTAGACCCTTGCGCCCATCATCGTTGTGGAGAAAACAGCATCTGCGAACTAGACGCAACCGAGACGACTGGATATCGTTGCAACTGCAAACACCCTTACATAATCAATCCAGAGTTTGACTACAACCACAATGCTTGCGTCCAAAACATGGACAATCGAAACGTGCGCGCCGACTTTTCAGACAGCAAAATTCTCTTTGGCGGCGGCTGGCATCGTCAACCACCACCTGGATTTCAAATCAACGACGAACCAATGCCCAGCGATAGATACTACGGCCTTGAGTCGACGGACGAGCCCGGAACGGTCCAAATCATGCATTTGAAGAATCACGCTCCCAGTCCAACAAGAGAACAAAGAATTGGAAAATTTTACGGCTGCATGATGCACCTCGACGAAAAATCAGTCATGTTGGCTGGAGGAAAATGGGGAGACAGTTTCAACCAGTACGACGATCAAACATCCGTCTTCCGATTTAACAACCACGTCAGCGATGGAAAATGGATCGACACCCAGGGTAACGAAATGCAAAGCTCTCCTGAATCCTGCCAAGGCGAGAGCGGCTGCGTCAGGGGAAATGATTGGCCAGATCTTCCTTCAACCTCAGTTCTTCGTTGCGAAGGACAATGTCGAAATGGCGAAGCGGGAGTAGGCCCGACCAATGTTTATTGGATAGCAGAGTATTGCTACATCAAAACCGAGTTCTTCAACAGCGAATCAAGAAATATGGAAGAGATGGAATTTAATCTCTGTGAATACAAACTCGTTGCGGACGAAGAAAACGGAGAATTCGTCCCAAAACTCGGCGGAAAATACAGATCCGAAAAGCAACCAGAAGCTGTCTGGCGATCGAATGTTGCTGATTACCAACGTGCGTTCTTGAACACGACTGGTGAAAAATTCCGAGGAAAACTCAACCGAATCAAATGGAGTGAAAACGAAGACGTAACGAACAACAGAACAACGGAACATGTTTGGAAAGATTACCCAAGCCCAGAACTCTTTTCTCCCGCTGTTGGCCCCCAAGATCCAGTTAAAAAATTCTACAGAGGTTCAAATTTCATCGACGTGCTGATCAAAGAAGCAAGAAACAACAACGCCCAAGGACAGCCTGTTTGCGGAATTCTCGGTGATAGAGCTTATCTTGGCTCTGGAACCGGCGGTTTTTTGTACTCGATCCCTCGAAATGCATCTCAGCTGTCTATGGAGCCAGTTTGGCGAAGAGAAAATTCATCACGATTTCCTCAAGCGTACAGTAGAGTCGACGGAAGAAGATGCACCGCTCGAAGAATCCCGGATAAGGATACTTACGATCTGTTCCCAATTCAGCGACAGTCTCTCGGAATTGCTTCTACAACGGAAGGTCTCTGGATGCTCGGTGGTCTGGTTCATCCATCAGCTGACGTAGAAAACACCCTCGGCAACATCAAGTACGCAGATGTCGAAGGATGCACCAAAGGCGCGATGTACAGCGATGTCTGGGTGTTCAACCCTCGAGGCTGGAATCGACAGGCAGTTCTCGGCGACGCGGCGGAAAAATACAAAGGACAAAGCGCAAGACAAATTCTTCCCGAAAGATACGGTTTCGGAGATGGAATCGACGAAAAACCCTTCCCTCAGAGCTTCGAGGACTTTACCTTGTGGGACGAAGAATCTTCAGAGAATGGACTGACAATCCAACGAGCAGAAGAAGAGGGTTGGGAATGTTCAGCTGTTCAGGGCGGCTGGTGTAGAAAGCCGTTTTTACCACATCATACAAAAGGTAATTGCGACCCTAAAAATCCTCTCCCCTAAAAATCCTATCTAGCGCCTGAAGTTGTGACTCTCTGTTTCGAATACGACGAAGGAGAGGAAATCTATCAGCCAGAGCACGTCGATGTTTTCGGTAACACGTACTGGGGCCAACCTAAAAAGACGCAAAAAAGACCGCGAGTATGTTCAATCGAAGAAACTAAAAACGACGATAACGATTGCATCTGCTACCTCTTTGCTGTCGGCGGCCAAGCTGGGCGCAAAATGCCCCGAATATGGTAAAATTGATTTTCAACAATTGAATATTTTTTCGATGAAATTTTTTGATCCCTTTTTTCTAGAGCGGCTTCCGAAGAGAAGTCTTCTACCTAGAAATCCGGCGCGCAGATGGCACTTATGGATCCGATCGTCCAAAATACTCCTCTTCTGTTTCTGAAAACTGCCCGAATGCGGAGAAGCTCCATGCTGAAGATGCAGATCTTGTCGTCGATGAAACATCTGCCGTCGCCGACTTCAGTGAATGCACCGACTCTTGCTCCAGCGAAACCTGCAATAGAAAATGGGACAAGACCCTACTCCGGCGAAAGTGGCACGAAGCAGGGCGAATTCGTTTCCCAAGATTGGGATTTTTGTCCGGAACGCTCAAGGGCGAGATCTTCCTCTGGGGCGGCGAGTGCGCTGGATTCTCCAAAGACGACGGAAAATCGGCAAATATGGAGCTCAACGGCACCTGCCGAAGTTGCTACAAGACGCATTTGTGCAAGGCGAAAATCGACGAGAACGGAGTCGCGGACAATCAAGACTACATGGAGCGCTTCGTCATTTTCCGAATGAACAAAGCCGGCTTCTTATTCGGAGCGCCACGGCATGTCGAAATGAAGGGTTGGTATCCGGGAACTGTGACAAATGACGAGTCTCAAGTTTCGCAGCAATTCTCGGCCATCAACAACAATAACGCGTTTTACAGTTAGAAGCAACCTTTGTGCAAACAAAATGCCTGTAAAATAAGTCTGTTAAATATTCTGTAATTATTACTGTACATAAATCTATCGACGGTTTCTTTTCAATAAAGGACCAAACTTATAAGTCTCATGTGTTTTATTCGTGAAAATAATCATTTACATAAAATATAATAACAAATAATATCAAAAATATCGAAGGTACACCAATCTTCGTAGCAATTGTCGCAGCATCCGTCTGAACAAAAATATAGAATTTCAAGAAATTCGATAAAAATGAAATCTCCTCGATTTCCATCAGCAACATTACCGTCATCATCATCGATATCAATCGTAGTCGAGGTGGTAGTAGATGAAGTGCATGAAACTTAATAAAAATTAACTAAAATTTCGTCTTTTTCTCCACTCTTAAAACCTTCAGCAGAGGATTTTGGTTTCACTTCATTTTTCCGACCCATTTTAGCTTCTCAAAAATGCTTCACTCTCCTGCTTGGTACCTGCAAATCAAAGCGTGATAATAAATAGAGGAAGGTGACATTTAAACTGGCAAATAAAATGTACTCAAGGACCAAAATGAAATTTGGAGAAGATTTTCCTGCAGAATACTGTCGCCGCTATGTACTCAAATGGCGAAATAAAATGACGAAAATAGAGTTTAACAACTTTCCGTAGAGTTAAAGCCATACGTTGCTATAGCATAGGCGATAGTTATTGCGATCTGTAGAAAATAATAATGTTTCTATCGCAACTCTCGAGTCTGAACTCGCAAATTTTTTTGAAGAATTTTTTATGCCAGATGATGATTCATTATCAGGACAGCAAACGTACAGGACGCCTCCTACATTATCGAACAGCAACATTGCTCGTCGTCTGAAAACAAATTTCGTCTCTTCTTAGATATTTTCGATTAAGAATGAACAAGGAGATGAGAGCCTCTCTTACCTTCTTCATCACCGTATCTAGTCGAATTATCACTGATCGTTGAATTTGAAGTCGTGTACGATGAAGCTAAATTGAGCAAAAAAAATATATTTTCCGATAATATTTTATTCTTACCTTCCGAAGAACTATCAACCTCCACCAATGCAAAAATTTGGGGCATTTATTCTATCGAAAAATCTTTCTCACTCAGAGTAGACTCTACTGTCAGACAGTAAATAGAAGACAACCCCGCTTGTTCTTTGCAACAAAAAAGAACGAAAGTAATGAATTTTAATCGACAAATAAAGCATTCAAGAAGAGATATAAAATTGACCAAAATTGACTTTTCTTTGCAGTAGATCGAAATTTTTCGCTTTATTTACAGAATGAAAATGTACAGAAGTAAAAAAGTCAATATAAAATCATATGAAGATTTTGCTTCAACCAGTCTTCAAAAGCTCGGATCAACTTTTGAGATGAATAATATTTCTTGAAAAATATTATTTTAAAAATCTGTTAATATTTGAAAACATACAAGTTCGAAGACGAGTCATTGTTCCAGCAGTCGAATTCATAAATCGATTTGAACTTTTTAGGGCTTTTTCGGAATTTTGCGAAAACTTTCTTGTTAAATTATTTTCTGCAAAAACATATCTATATTTTGCACTTGTACTACAAGTTGTAACGTTGCAATGAAAGAGATCAATGAAGAGAAAAAAAACTCATGTAAAAATATTCAACGGTTTTTTCGCAAAAGTGTTTTGGATAAAGCCGTGGCTTGAACGCGGCGTATTATTGGCAATAAGCATATTCAGACTATCGGAGACCGCGCCCAATCTTTCTCCGAATTATTTGAGCAAACACGAATGTGAGGATGATTTTTCCAAAAATAAAGAAAAACGTAACGTTTGCTTTTAATTTAATTCGCCTCCTAGAAGAATATTTTCCAGTCGATTGAGTCAGAGCGGTTGAAGAAGAAACGCTTCCATAGGAATTTGGGGATAAAGAAGGAACTCTGTAGGATCGATCGTAGCGGCCATAAGATGAATAAGAAGACCCTTAAAACAGGTCTTAAGGGGGTGAATTAGATTTTTCGAAAAACCGTGATTTTCGGGAGGCACTTTAAATAAGGAAAACCTGTTTTTACTTATGATTACGCAATTTCCTTAACAATGTTGCTAGATAAAGGGTTAAAATATCTTAAAATGAGATTTAAAAAATTCGGCTAGTCACGTGACTGGAGAAATTTGAGGACGCGAATTTGCGAAAATTGCGATTTTCGAAGAGGTGGGTTGACGTTTCGCTCTCAAGCGCCAAAATGTGTTGACGAAAAAAATATTTAAGAAAAATGTTGTTAGATCTAAGTTTGTTCTATCCTCAGCCGAAGAGAGAATTTGAAAATCTAAGCTCTCCTGGCTTTGAGCGCCGGTCTAGAATCGGCTATTTTCGAAAAACCTAGTTCTACCGCCTTAAAGGTAAAAGGGGTTCAAAAGCCGGTCAGCCCTAACCCTAACCTAGGGGGCCCGGGACCCCCCCAGCGGGAACCCCTCTTTTTTGAAGATTTTTCGCTTTATTTCATCGAAAGTCAAACCTGCTGTCGATGATGAAGATGATGAAGAATAAGAGTTGACAACTGTTTGAACTCGAGTTTTCCGCTCAATGGAATCAGACCTTCTGAAGTATGGAGATCTTTCTCGGCCAAGACCAGAAGAACTAATCGTATTCGACCGGGTGATCGAAGAAGCTGTCCCTGGTGAAATCTGTTGTCTTCCACTTCTTGGTCGATCAGCGGCGTAAATGGAAGAAGCAGAAAGAAGGGAGCTTTTTGATGTATCCGTTCGGAAAGAATAGCCTGAATCGATCGACATATCCGAGATATCGCTTTCTCTTCTTCCGTCTTTTCTGAAAGATCTTCTTGTCGAACTTGCTCTCGGAATTGATGAAGTTTTCGCACTCTGGTTTTTCTCAATAACTTTTTCAAACCCAGCTGATCTTTCCGCAACGGTAACGATTTTCGACTCCTCCGCTGGTTTTGATTTCTTCGCCAATTTTTCTCGAAGACGGGAGAGAATATTTTGATTTCCGGAATTTCCAACTTCTTTTGGCTTTTTCTGCGAGCCCAGATTTGTAATTGTTGAAAGAACTTGAGGCCTAGCAGCTTTTTCTCCATTCTTCAGAATTTGAAGTTGATTATTGTAGGTTTCAAAGAGTTCGTTAGCCAGAGCGATTTCGCTTTTCTTGAGTGACTTGACCAGATGGTATTTTATTGGATATCGTTCTCGACAAAGACGGAAGTCTAGTTCTGCAATTTCGTTCTTTAAAAAAGGTCATCAATAAGCAAAAAAAACCACCATCAATTTTAGTAGTAGAAATTGACGCCTTTTGCCTTGAGCTTTTCTTTAATCGATTCTGTCAGATGAACATAAAAATGCTTCAACGCAATTTTCGTTTTTTGGTTGACACCCATTCTTTCTTTAATTTGCAAAATCGTGGATTCTTTCGTTGTTCCCGGGAGAAGAAATGCTAAGGCTGCTTGATGAAGGTCTGTTGTTAACTCATCGCCAGTTTTTTGCAAGAAAAAGGAGTCGAGGTGGAGATCTTGGACGATTTCTTTTCGTTCCCTGATCGAGACATGCAGATCATCGTAAGAGCAATAAGCGCCAGAAGCTTTGATGCCTGTATCTTGAACCAGCCGAGGCGAAATATCCAGCCGTGCTGATTTATTTTCTCCTGCTGATAAAACAAAACCGTATTTCAGGAAAAGCTGACGATCCGAAAAGTCGCCATAAGACAACTTTAATTCTTCTCCTTTGGTGATATTTTTCTTGGCTTCAAGAGAAAGAAGATATTTTTCAGAGAAGTGGATCTTTTTGGTTTTATCCCAGACATGTTTTCTTCGAATATTTAGGAAGACGTTCGGAGTGGAAGAGTGATTGATTAGGTCAAAGATCGGGAGGAAGCCGAATGACCTCAAGTCGGTAGGGTCGCTTCTTTCAAGCCACTTTGGCAAGCTTGCACTTTGAGATGAACTTTCAGGAAATTCAGGCAACTCGTAAAGACGACTTGACCAGACAGAGTAGGCCCACGCTTTTTGAATGAGGTGATAAAGAGACGGAAATAACTCTACCTAAATTATCATTGTTCCCCTCATTGACCTAATGTATCCCTTGAGAATTTGACGTCATCAATGACAGAACAGTAATGCTCGAAGCGAGAGACGAGCGCGTCAAACTGAGCAGCTTCTTCTTTCATTGCTTTCTGAAGAGACTCGTCGCAAACACATCTGAATTCAAGCTGTCACTGCGGTCACAACTGCACGGTGTGGAAATTGATTGAAAATTACAACGTGCAAAACTCTTAAAGACTTTTCTTGAGAAGATCTTTGAGAAATGTTTGTATTGTCTCCTTACTTTCGAATGTCGATAGGCCAGTTGAATGGTAGATGATTGCTTTCCCGAGGAAAAGAGCCGATCCAACCAGCTACTCGTGATGCATTTTTCTGTGCTGCTTCAGCGATCAAGAAGTGGATAAATATGTCTTGATGGGGAATTGAAACTTTTTGAGGGAATCTGCTGACGGTGTAGGTATCGAAGAACTCATAGGTACTGCAACATTCGTCGAGAATGAATGGAAGATCGATGATGAGCCCAGTGGGAACTGAATTACTACAGTAAGGAGGCAACAGTTCTGATTCAATCGCCTGGTGAACTACTCTACTTTCGAAGGTTGAGTTGTTAACGAGCTCCAATTATTTATCGTGTCCTTGTTGATAAGTACAAATGACGATGCGTTTGGCAAAAGTTCAGCATTACAGTACCTTGCAAGAGTGGTTCGCCTTTTCGAACTGATTTTGGGGAATAAAGGCCTCTTCCAGTGATGTGATTGACATCTTGGTTGAAAGTTATTTCTGATTTTAGACGATTTTTCTTTTTTGAGGATAAAATTCATCAATTGTTTCTTCTATCATTCTCCGGTTTTAATAAAAAAATTGAGAGAAAAAGTCGATTTTACCCATTTTCCTTCGACCAAATTTTCAGTTCTTCCATTTCTTTATTTTTTTTTAGTAAATGACTCTTTATTTATATTTTTGTTGCTCTAAATAATTCTGTAAAATTGGGAAAACATGCGGGAGTGGATACCACTTGAGGTCGCGTGGCCGTGAGAGCCTGTCCAACGTGATAAGTTGATGGTGATAAGCGAATGATAATAACGTGTCACCTGGTTAAGGGTACTTCCGATTCTTTCTGAGTCAAAATTTGTTTTCGAATTATCATAATGAAATGTTCTGCTTAGATTGATCATTTTATTTTGTTGGAAATTTCAACTTGAAATCAAGGAAGAATAAAAACGACACTGAAAGAAACAATTTCTTTAATGATTCGAAAAAATGAACTTTAAAGGATCATAATTATCGATGGTGATCTGGTGATCCAAACATTTTCGATCAACAAAGTCGTGTGATTATGGTCAGGGCAGGGGTGGATATTTTGATGTCAAATCACTTTTTCGACCACTCTTTATTTGAAATTTAAAGAGATAATCTCTATTTCACTTTCTACTATCATGAAGAGGGCTCGCCTTGGGAGCGTAATACGCTTCCACCCTCTTATCCGACTCAGTTATACTTTGCATATACAGTGATTTTCCGAAATACGTAATAAGAGGACTTTTCGTCAGCCCCTGTCATCCAAAAAAGCCTCTTATTTTGGAAGACCACTGTCCATACTTACCCTCTACTTTGGGTTCATTACTTCTGAATTATTAGTTACTAACAGGTTTCGGAATTTCCGGAAATTCAAAAAAGGAACTAAAGAAAGGATTAACTTCTCAATACACGTTGTCGGTAAAACTGACCACGGTGACTTATGCCCTCAATAACTTCGAAGTTGGTAATCCGTTTGACCTAGTTTTTGCAAATTTCAACATGAACATTATGTTCAAGCGCATGACCCGCCCCGGGCGCAGGGTAGGCTTCACTTGGACAAGAACTTCATTTAGACAGAGCTTCACTTTGACTTCACTTTTTTACGAATTTGAAAAACGAGTATATATGAATAACCTTGTTAATAGTAAAAAATTATGGCGAAATTAAATTAATTTCGTTTAATTTCGCTCAGTCTAAATAAAGCTTTTCTCCAAGTGAAGCCTACCCGAGAAAGGGTCAAAGAAAGAAAGGGATGAAACGCAAAGAGATCTTTTAGATACTAAAACATGCCTTTTTCAGTTGAAATTGAAAATGCAGCTCTTCCACCATGGGCAAACGTTGCTCCAGGGTTCGGTAATTTGAGCTCACGCTAAAACTCAAGGAAACAAAGCTTGAGACTCACGTTTTTTAACTTGAGTTTTGAGAACTCAGAGATGAGAGCTCACGTGAGAAATCAATTCTGGCGATCCATGAGCCAATCAAGGAAGCGCTCGCTTAATTTGAGTTTTGAAAACTCAAAACTCTCAAATCTCCCAAAAACTCAAAATTCTCAAAACTCTCAAATCTTCTCAAAATGATTTCTCAAGTCACTTTGAGTTCTCAATTTGAGGAAATTTGAGCGTCTAGCCAAAATGAGTTATAGCTTGAGCTCAAATTACCGAACCCTGCGTTGCTCACAGTGTTAGAGATTTTCCTCTGTTGTGGCACCATCTTCGGCTGGCCAAACTTGATCAAGATCTTGAAAGAAGAAGGTTTCTACTGGACAGAGCGGGGGTGGATATTTTGAAATCAACCATTATTCCATTTTATTCTAGAGCAATTTTGGCTTGATGAATCGGCTTTAAATTTCGCATGTTATCATGCTTTATATATTCGAATCAGTTCTGAAAATTTCAGACTGATTCAATCAAGTTTTGCTCTGGAAAAAAATTATATAATGATTTGATTTCAAATTATCCACCCCTGGGACAGAGACTGGGAACTTTTCCGTCGCCATTACAGAAGCGCCAGAAGAACCAGCTAAAGAAGATGAGAAAAGCGCGCAAGAGATTCAGGACGCCGCATTTACCGCTATTTTCACTCTTGGTAAGTGAATCGAATTGAATCGGGAATGAATCAAGCGAATTCTAGCAATGACGTTCTTCGCCGTTGCAGCATTTCTTGCTGGCTTTCTGATGGACAGCTTTGGATCGATGAAAACTCGACTTGTCGGGCTTGTTCTTTTCCTTGCTGGGTCGGTGATGGTCACTATTGCAACTCCCGGCGAAACTGATGAGTAGGAATTCAATTAATTGGAGGCTTATTTTATTTCTTCTTTAAAGTTATTTAAAATACGGCTGGACATCAATCAGCTGTGCGGGTATCTTTCTGCTCGTCACTCAATTTCAAGTGGCAAACTACTACGAAGCCGCCCGTGGCCGAGTTCTCTGCGTTTTCAATGGTACAATCGATTCCAGCTCTTGCTCTGCGCTGCTCTTCCTGGCAATCTACAACGCTCTTGGATATTCCATGACATGGGCGATTTATGCTGCTCTCTCCGCTCTTATAATTTTTAGAACCTTCTTCTTGCTTCCAATTAACGCTATTCCATATTTATGGTTCAAAATTATTATCTTGAATAATAATAATAATAATAATAATAATAATAATAATAATAATAATAATAATAATAATAATAATAATAATAATAATAATAATAATAATAATAATAATAATAATAATAATAATAATAATAATAATAATAATAATAATAATAATAATAATAATAATAATAATAATAATAATAATAATAATAATAATAATAATAATAAATATTTAAATTTTTCATTTTACGAAAGAGCCTTATTTGAACCGCTTGTGAAGCCCCTTCCTGCCGATTATAAAACTGTCCCTGGTTACAAATCGCTCTGCTCAAAGCCTGAATCTGGAACTGATGAAAACAAGAACAACGTAGAACTGGATGACGTAGAAAAGAACCCCCATTCCAAAGAGGAAAAGAACGGAGCTGAGGAAAATGAGAAGGAAGTTCCAGCATTTTTCAGCTCCGAAGTCGCTCTCTCCCCGCTTTTTATTTCAACGATGTTGTTTTTCATCATTCAGGTGACGCGAGTGTACTTTTATCTCGGCGGCATCGCTCCTGGAACGCAAGAGCTTGTTCAACTCGATCAAAACTGTACTCAGGAAGAAGCAGAATCGATTACCGGAACGATGATGACGAACTTTGCTATTTTTCAATTCGGTGGTGCTGGATATGCTTTTTGACTGGCTTGGTCGTTGATTCAAGTCAGTTCATAAGCTCTTTCCGTCGATTTTCATTCGCTTTTTTCAGTTCTCGCCAAAACTGGCGACAAAAATAAAGCTCTCGCCGCTGGAGTCTTTTTGACAACGATTTTTGGAATTTCTTTTACCGCTCTGACGCTCATCGCAAACACCGCTTTACAGTACGCAACTTTCATCTTATCTGTTCTTCACAAATCTTTTACTTACGGCATCAATGCTACTGTTATCGGCCTTTCGTTCCCGAACGAGCACTTTGGAAAGCTTTACGGAACGACCCAGGTAAGAAGTCACTTCTTATCTTAACGTTACATAGCATTTTCTAGATCTTCACGATTATTTCTGCTCAGGCCACCGACTGGCTCTTCTCATACGCCAACGCGAACAGCTTCGTCGAAGCAAACCGAATTCTCTTCTATTTAGAAATTATCTCGCTCTTCCATTTCTGCTTATTTCTGTACCTCATCCGAAGGAATCCTAATTAATATTAGTTTTTAATATTAAATATTTTATATAATTAATTTTATTAAAATATAATTATTTATTAATAAGATTTATTATTGGATAAGACAATTCTCTTTTGCCTATCAGTATATTTTTTTGCTTTGCAGTGTTACCATGACAAAATCCAAGATTCCAGTTGCCATACTTTCGATAACGAATTGTCTTCAGAAATTGTAAAATGCAAAGAATACTCTGAGGCTCAGAGTCTGAGCATACTTCACGTCAGTTATCCATGCTTAGAGAACTTACAAATCGAGAATTTCGAGACATTGAAGCTAAATTAAAACGCTTATCATCAAAGCGCTTTCCTTCTTTCTATCCCTGAGCATTTTCTTATTTTTATGAGTAATAATAGTATTTTATTATACTGTACTTGCAAATGCATCAATCGTAATAAAAATCAATTGATTTTTATTAAATGACTCTAAATTATTCGACGCTAATCTATTCTAGCTATACTTTCTCTTCAAATTCCTGAATCAAATAAAATCTCACAAACAAAAGTACAATGCTTGATCTTGAAAGTCTTTGAAAAAATTAATTTTTATTTCAAGAAATTGATTTAAAGGCCGGCCTGGTCCCGAGTCCACTGGTTGAACTCTGGGTACCAGAGGTTGGACCAACCCTGTGGGTAGCCGTTGGAGTTGCAGTAAACGTGTGCCCAGGAAGTGGCACCGACGAGCTGGTATTCGCCGTTGACCTTGTAGACGAGGGGTCCGCCGGAGTCACCGGAGCAGATGGAGGCACCGCCGACATCAGCGCACTGGACGGAGTTGTCGATGGTCTGTCCCTGCCAGAAAGCCTTGCATCTAAGAAATTATGATGAGACAGAGAACAATCACAATAATGGGTTTGTTGAAGACCTTAATACTTACCGCTGGACGGAGACGTATTCAGTATCAAGCCATCGGAGGTATCGGGAAGTCTGGCGGTCTGGGAGGACACCGTTGGACTGGTACTGGTAGTAACCGAATCCAGAGGTCATGAGTGGCTAGAAAGGATAGCTTTTCGGCTTCAAGAGTCTTTGCTTACGGTTCGGTCAGGAAGTCGCTCAGCGGAGGGAGCAATGAGCTGGATTGGCTGAGCGAAGTCGTTGAAGGTGATTGGGCTGGAAAGTCGAATGACACCGAAATCGTTGATGATGAGGGAGCCGTTGTATCGGGGGTGAGCGATGAACTGGGCGGTGGTGATTCGCTGACCGGATCGGTTGTCAACGTCACCGACCTGGACGGTGAAGTTGGTGTTCTGCTTGCAGTGAGCAGCAGTGTTGACGAAGGTGGAGCTCAAGATGGAGCCACCGCAGAAGTGACCAGAGGTCTGGAGGGACGCCTGCCATGGGATCTGGCCGTTGACAGCCAACTCGCAACCAATGCAGAAGGGAGAGGTGGTATCGACGGTCTTGATACCGGGGTGGGCGGCTGAAAAGTAAAATAATTATCTCAGACTTTTTTCGACTCAAAAGAGTCTTCTTCGTGTAACTTACCGGAGGCCAAAGCAACGACAGCAGATTTGAGCATCATCTTGAAATTAGATCTCAATGATGAGCTGCGTCAATTCAGAGCGCTGAATTTATATCCGCGCCAGATGGACCCTTCCCATAACACGGTCTACCGGCAATTTGCAATTTCTTGAGCCATTTTTTTACAGGCCACGTGGCGGAGCTCCCATGCGAATACAATAGATTAACGTTAATTTATAATGAAAATACTGGTATTTTATTTCAACAGTGGAATATTTTTTCTCACACTGAAAGTTCCTCTGCTTTTGCGTAGAGCTTTACCAATGAACTAAAATTGAAAATAAGCATGATTTTTTTGTTATGACGATTTACTTGTAATATTCGGCCTTTGAATTGATTGGCGACGCCAGTTTTTCCAGTTCTCCAATCTTTGCAGTTGCTTCTTCGTAGCTTTGCGGTGGATTTCGAGTTGAATGATAAGCTCTGTATGCAGCACCGACAGCAGCGGAGTGCTCTGTTTCGGGTTGATGGAAGATGTCCGCCTGAAAATTAGAACGGGATGCTGAGAAAAGCGATCTTACCTGGAAAATATCAGAGATAATTTGAACAAGTTCTCGATTTTTGCTCGCACCGCCAGTGACAATGAGTCTCTTAGTTGACTTGAATCCAAACTTCTCCACGTGACATCTTTTCGCTAGAATTTGTCCCGTAACGAAAGAGACGATATCTTCACGCATCGTTAATTCCCCGTCAAAGGTCTTCAAAACTCCAGCAGCATCAATCTCATACAGCCATTTTCCTTGCTTGTTTGACGGCGTTATTTCCGGCAGAGGGAAATTGAGTTGAATAATTTTTCGATCTTGAGAATTTTCTTCCAATAATATTTTTCCGAATTCTTCCCAAGAAAGATTGTACTTGTTCTTGATTTCTTCTCGAGCTAGTGATCCATTTTTGTAACAAAGAAGACCCATGAATTTCTTCTTCTCAAGGGGGTTGATAAAGATATGCCCTAAACAGAGTTTCATAGTTAATTCCATTAGTTGTTCACAGACCTTCTGGCTGGGGGACAGCAGAATCAAGTGAGAGCATAACTGTATCAGAAGTCCCAAGAGAAAGACACAAATCGCCAGGAGTGAGTCTCAGTCCTGCCAAGCTCGAAGGATTGTCTCCAGTTGCAGCGACGATTTGGCAGTTTTCCGGAATTCCATATCTTTTCGTCCAGTAAGAATGAATCTTTCCACAGATAGTATCCGACGGAACTGGTCTTGCAAGTTTTTCGCAAACGCTGTCAAAGGACATTGAAATAGCATTTACGCCGCACCAGTAGCTTTTTGCATCGGTTTTGTTGATATTTCCGCTGTTTATTCGCAAGAAATTCATTCCAGAGCCATCAGAAAAATCGATCTGAAAGCAGATTCTCTCATAAAACCATGAATAAAAGCACTTACAGGTGCATAATCGCCAAGAAAAAGGGAGACTGCGAAGGATGAGATGAGCGAGATTCTTTCCGTATTTTTGTAATCGTCTGGATTTTCTTCCGCAAACTTGCTGATCTGGTGAATCGTGAATCTTTCATACGCACTGGAGCCGGTGGCAGCGGCAAGCTGCATCTTTCCGCCGTACGCTGACTCCATTTTCTTGCAATATTCGCTGGTTGAAGAATCCATCCAGATTGGAGACAGGGGTTTTTGAAGGAGCCTTGGAGATTTTCCTTCAAAGTTTTGTCTGATGAAAGATTTCTCAAAGAATGAGCATTTCGCCAGTAAACGGATCCATGTTGTTGACCGGATGCAGAGATTGCTACAACGCGGGATAGCAAATTTTTGTCAAGCTTAGAGAAAAGAACATCGAAGGCTTCAACGAACATCATTGTTGGAGCTCCTACTTCTTTGCCTTTCTTTGGTTCAATACTATACTTTATGTGATGAAGAAAGAATCTGTCGCGGTAACCGATCTTTTTGAATATATCCATCAGTTGATCCATAATTTAAGTCATCAAATCGCACAGTCTGGCAATCCTGAACTTTTAGCGAGCAGTCCACAAATATTGCTGTCCGTTAATTAAAGAAGACAAGCGATCATTATGAAAATAATAAATTATATCAAAATTTTTTAATTTTTCCTTTCAGCTGCTGCGTTGACAAATCAAGCCCCAAGTAAAGCTCTTCGCTCATTTTCTCCAGATTTTAATGATCTTTTTTCTCTCTGTTACGCCCAAAAGCTAATGTTTACTTTTTTGTTGCTGATCTGACTGGGAGAAATTCGGAGACTGATTTTAAGACAAGGCGTGGGCTTTTATCTTGCAAAACATGGAAATTTTCTTGCTCAAGAACATCTAGAATTACTTTCGATAAGAGACAAGGGGCTTTGATCTTGTTGTATTGAAAATTATCGTTTTAGGAAGAAAAAGATGAGGATAAGAAAAAGGGCAGAAAAACCGCTGGTTTCCGCGGCACTCGTAGTCGTGGTTTTCGGACGTTTTGTAGTAGGCATTGGCTTTGATGGAAATCCACAGAGAGACCAGTCGCATCCCTGCTTCTCACCGACTCCAATCATCAAATCGCGAAGGAATTTCTTGTGCTCGTCGTCGATGAATCCACATTGCGCTAGAAAGAATGTTAAACAGGGTTTCGAATAGGGCACAAGTACGTATGTATCTCGCAGTCTCTCTGTAAATATAGTCGCATTCAAGTTCTTCATCCTGCAAAAGGTAAAAGAGATTGTCGATCAGTAAGGTTCCCATTTTCGCTTTCAAAAAGAGCTAGCTTTCTTGGGTTGTATTTCGGCACGAGTCGCTTGGCATTTGAAAATAATCCTTTTGACTTCAAGTCACAATGCGAGCCATACCAGTGCGATGAAGATATTCCGTTGTAAAAATACTTTACAAGATTTACGAAGGTGCAAAGATAACAAATAAAAATGATTAATACTACTAGTAAACAGAATTTATTGGTGACAAATAAACTTTTTCAGGTTGATGGAATTCTGCAAGAAAATGCCCTTTTGTAATAAGACCAGCATGGCAAATCATTCATAAACGATGAGCCAGTTGAATCGTCCCAATAGACCTCTGTACAATCTTCTCCGCCACTTGGTGATCCAGAACCCCAATTAAGAAAGAAATCTGAAGAGCCATCAGGTGCGACCCATTCCGAGCCACTCAACGTATAACCTAAGAATTCTTTCTGCTCCCCACTGTCTGTTGTTCGTCGATTTTTTCGAAGCAAATGATGATAATTAAATTCTGCTTCGTTCTTCCAGAACATGACGTGTCCTCCACGATTTCCGCATTCCGTGACTGCTTCAGCCTTCGTATACTCGCCATCAAAAAACTGAATATCAGGATAATCTACTTTCTTCAGACGCGATGAGCAGGAAACTAGAAATGCTGTCACAATGTCGATGCGTGTAGAAAATCGTTTGAATTTGAACTCGGACGAAGATGTAATTGTTCCTCCCAATTTCTTTCCGACTTCAGATAAAGCTCCATTGGTAAGAACCTCAACTTAGCTAAGTTCAACATAATCAAGTAGTTATGCTAGGGTTAGGGTTAGGGTTAGGGTTAAGGGACCACCCGCACCGAGCTCGCGCGGCTTTTCAAAAGCGCAGAACTTTTTCTTATCTTCCCCAAATTTTATGAACTCCTCATCTCTAGTGTAGTTTTTTATCATCATTCATATCCAGTTCGAATTTTTTTTCATAGCATTATTTTGGATTCAGGAGAGAAAAAGTGATGCTCAACTTCAAAGGCATCAGCTCCTAGAATACTTGTCACTCGAAGTTATAAATACCCTCATTAAAAAGCGCATTCAATTTTGACCAGGACCAAGCTGTGTGGTCTTCGAATTTTATTTGCATTAGATTGTAATCAGGGGATTTATCAAGGAACACCATTCGTGCGGCGGAGAATTTGCCCTATTTGGGCTGAAAAGGCGCGATTCACGCTGCGCAACAGCGTTTTCACACCGAGTCATTGCACTAATCCCCCGATTCTGACCGGATATTCGCAAAATTCGAAGACCACGCGAGCTAAGCCCTGGTCAAAATTGAATGCGCTTTTTAATGAGGGTATTTATAACTTCGAGTGACAAGTATTCTAGGAGCTGATGCCTTTTGAAGTTGAGCATCACTTTCTCTCTCTTCAGAATCCAAAAATTATGCTATGAAAAAAACTCGAACAGGATATGAATGAGGAGAAAAAACTACACTAGAGATGAGAAATTCATAAAATTTGGGGAAAATAAGAAAAAGTGCTGCGCTATTGAAAAGCCGCGCGAGCTCGGTGCGGGTGGTCCCTTAAGCCTGCATTATAATCCTCATTATTTTGAACTTAAAAATGTACGGCCATCCGATGTGACATTGCAATCAACAAGTTCTTGGTTAAAAAGAAGATCATCGGTAAATTCTGCAATTGAGACGATCACATCACTGTTAAGCGTTTCCCCACCTTTAGATTTGATTTATTTCATCAAAATACCATTATATATATATAAATACCATTGACTTCTATTTGCATCTCCCGTGTCTCTTGAGGCATTTGGCCACTGGCTTTCTCATTGAGAAGTAAACGGGCTATAAGAATATTTGAAAAAATAAGGGGGCCCCCTTAAGGGTACTACCTTCGATTTCCCCAATTTTACCATTGAATAACTCAAAACATATCAATAATGATGGAGAACACATAGGCTCTTAAAGTACCTCTATCTTAGATCTTCAATCTGTCAGAAGCGTTTTCGGTTTGCTCAATAAAAACTCGGTTATTTTCTAGCTCAAAGTAATCAACTATTCAAAAATGGCCTAAATAAACGGTCGAATAGCTCAAAATTCGCCTGAAAACTGAGTAATATTATGATTTAAATATTTAATTTGAACCTTTATCTTAAAAATGACAGAAGGTTTTTGTGATTGATAAATTACTTATACCAAAACAATTTTTTTGAAAATTGTGTCTCTACGATTTTGCTAAAATTAAGCATTTTTCAAAACTTGGCGACGCATTCTTGTCTCTAGAAGCTAAAATATCTAACTGTAAGAATTAATAAAGTCACCATGAAAGTCACCTTGCTCTGAGCTTCAAAACAAGCACTTATTTGAAAGAATCAGACAGGAAAAATCTTTTCGGAAAAAATACCTTTTAGTACTGAAATCGATTAAAAATCGTATTTTTATGAAAACGGTAAACGTCATGAATGAAATTTTCGGACCTTTTTAGATCAAAATTTTATGAAGAATCCATTTTCGATGAAAAATTAAACATTCACAGTCATTGGGGAAATCGAAGGTAGTACCCTTAAATTGAACCAACCATCTTTTGAGATGTCCAATGAGATGTTCGGCTCACAAAAGATCTCTCCATAGTTGCCGATTGTTAGATTTGTTCCCTTGATATTAACACTGTTAAGAATATTCGCTGTATAATTCGCTAAAGATTTAATTAATAAACATTGAAATTCTGAAAAAGTTATAACCTTTCGAAGAACTTTCTTGAAAGCATTTATTGTAATCGACGAGATTAGAGTTTGCTACTCGACACTCTGTAGTGGTTTTCCTACTGTTTTCGCTCCGAAATATGGAATTCTAGCGCGCGTGGTCAACGTAATTATGCTCAGTGAGCCGTGACGCGCTCAACGCCAAGGCTTTCACTCCATCATACCTTGACAGCTCGCCCCTCTCTTTTCCAGCGTTGGCGATATGGCCAACGCCGAGTTCATACGACCAAGTCTAAGTCCGTGCCACCGATGGGTGGTGTCCTACACTATAAAAACGACTGTACCCCTATAATTTTATCATTCTTTTCCCTGACTTCACAGGTATAACATAAAATATAATATATATATTTTATTATTTTCTGCTCACACCTATCAGGGTTAATAAACACATTCGAGATTGATTCCCGTGTTCCAATTACTTTCAGTATAAAACCACCATATATTTTGGTGACTGAAATAATCGGTACGCCCATCAATAGAGATATTAGAGATTATTTGACATCCGGTAAGTTTAACAGTTTAGAGACAATTCATCCATCATGGCTGAAGAAATCTATTTCAAAATTAATGTCGATCTTACGGCAAAAGAACTCATGGTCATTTATGACAGGCATCCTAGCCGTGAATATCCACTTCCGATTCCAAGATTCGATAAAACGGGCATTGTTTTGAACCTTTTGGCAATTCAACCCGATTTTCTCGAAGACCGTGAAAAGAAGTTTTACTTCCGGAAAAATGGTGATATTCTCGGATATGATCCTGAATATGTTGGTGAGGCGGTTCAAAAGACTGCCAGATCCGATCATAGAATTGACATTGATAAGATAAACGAAATTGTGACAATGGACCAATTTGGATCAATTATGAAGAAAGTTGATGAAGACTCTAAAATCGATGTCAAAGCGGAACCTCAAAACTCTCAAGAGCAAAAATCTCGCACCTCGACCGGAAACCAAACTGGAAATCAGTTCTCTGGAAATGCCAAGCAGAACGCTCAATCTTCTGCGAAAAATCCTCATGGCAGCTCCCCAAAAGCTGACCCAATTAACACCTCTGGAAAATTCAAGATGAAAACTCCAAAGTTTGACTCTCAATTACCAGTTGAAAATTGGATTAATGCGATGGAGTTGTTCAAGGCATGCTCAATCATCTCTGAAGAAGAACTTATCAAAGTCGCCCTGTCTCAGCTCCTGACAGAAGAAAGCGGAACTTCTTTGATTGAAGCAATCACTCCAGAAGAACTAAAAAATTGGAATGCGTTCAAGACCAAACTTTCTGACGTTCTTGGAAAAGACTCAGAATACTACAAACATCTCTACAACTCATTCCAAAGAGGTGGCGAAACTCAAGCAATGGCTCTGACAAAGTTGCAAGCCTACTTCAAAAAAGGCTATGGTAAACAAACTTTGGATGCAGCTGACGAGTCAATTATCTGTGAACGGTTCATTACAGCTCAAGAACCGCGACTTATGGAACTGCTCAAACGGGAAAAGTCATTACTCAATCTCCGAAACATTGCTCAGCGTGCAACAGAACTTGAACGATCCTTCTTCAAGAGAGAAAATATTTTCGCCGCTGATGATCAATCAAAAGTTCAAAACTCAGAACTTTCACAGCTCTGCTCGAAGCTTAAAGAAATCGTCGCGACTATGTCAAATGCTCCAGAAAAGAAGCAAAAAGTCTCAAGGCGACGACTTTCAAAGGAAATTATGAAGAAACTTGACGGACACTGCATCACCTACACGAAGCATCAAAAGTGTAGATTCGGCTCAAAATGCAAGTACATTCACAGCGACAAGGTCCCAAAAGAAATCAAGGACGCGCTTAAAAATGAGGCATGACTAGCTCAGTCAACAGAAACGTGTAAATACGTTAACTTTGCTCCCGCCTCGCTTAAATATGTCAAAATCTTGCTTAATGGACTCCGATTACCCGCTCTCATTGATTCTGGTTGCAGTAGAACATGCATCCGCTCAGATGTTCTCGCTCTTCTTCCTGCATCCATCCATCAAAAACCGTCAAATATCACTCTTAAGTGTGCGAATTCTGAAATCGTAACAGTGAAGACGCTCGATTCACTAATTGAGGCCACACTTGAGACATCATCAGCACCGCTCAAGCTGAAACTGAACCCGCTCATAGTTCAGAATTTATCATGTCCAATTATTCTTGGTATGGACACGCTTAAAAATGTCACGATTGGAGATAACTCAATCACACTCCAAAACAAAACCATACCAACAATTGATCCCTA